CAGAAAGCACTCTTTTTTGCGGATATAATCGTGTGGGCTGATGAAAAGATTATATCTTTTATTTTCCGTTTTTTTTTTAAAAAATTTAATCCTTTTTTTATTTTCATATTTTTTTTAATCAGTTGTTTGTTATTTTTTTTTTCATTATTATTTCTCCCCCTTTTTCATAAGTCTATAATTTTCCTTTGTTTTATCTTCATTTTGAACTTATATATATATATATATATAATGGAAATTAAAACTATGCAAACAATTAAACAATTTTTCATTCTGTGTCAATAATATTCTGCATTAATTCAATCTTCTCTCCTTTTCTAGATTCAAAATTTTGTGAAAAAATGAATGAGGTAATTTTTTTTTCATATGATTTATTGAGATTGCATTGTAAAAAATTGGTTATAAGAAATTATGTTCATTTAAAACATCACTAATTCTCTAATAATCGTTTCATTGTTATTTCTTTACAAATATTTCATAATTTTAATTTTATTTCATAACCGTCGTTGAACAGCCGACCCAATTTTATGGGTTTACGACTACTAATGTTCAACTCCGTAGCCTTGTAATTTTTAACCCAATCCAGATGAAAGGAAAACTCCTGGATCGAGTATTGGGAGAAATTTGCCTTCGTGGAGGACTTTTTTGATGGAGCTAACCCGCATTTGCGTTACATGGAGAGGAAGACCACGAGAACCTCTGTGGGTAGCCTGGCGGCAAGGGGACTCTAACCCATGAACCGTCTACCACTGAGGAAAGAAACAGAGTTCAAATCCCAAAATTTCTTTGAACCTGATAACTTGCCCATCAACATGCGCAAGGAGAATGCCTCTGTGACTAAGCGTTAATGAGATCTATGTCTGAAGCTTAAAAAAATCGGTTGAATTGTTTCTGAGAAATCGGATTTTAAATATTTGTATTTTTAAAATTCGATTTCACAAGAAATATAAAATATGTTTTTGTGTCTGATTTCGTAACTTAAAATATTGTCTGCATTAATTAGCATAGTCACCCCCTCAAAGCATTAAAATTGAGTCCTAGAGCGTGAAAACACGATCATTATTTAGATCAAAAGTTATTCAGTGTGGCGAGTCTTATGTTCTTCGCACTGTACTTTATTTCTTGCAGGATATGAAAAAGCATTGATCACATAAATATTTCATAATTTCCTTGCATTCTTTAAATCACTGACACGAAAAGCTTAGAGTTTGAAAGTTAAATGAACAAATTCATAAAAAGTGCTTTTTAGAATTAAAAAAAACTATTTCATGTAAACATGAATTTAAACTTTTTAATATCTCCTCATGTTTAACCAAGCTAATTTTTTATTAAAAATCATTTTGAATATTCGTGAAAATTAAATTCTGTAGTTAAGTTTGTCTTCTAAAAGTAGCGAAGTAGTGATTACATTTCAAAACTAGCTTGTTAGCTACATAGAAAATGTAGTTTTTCCGACCATTGTGTGAATTCATAGTTAAAAATTTAGTCTTTTTCATTCTTTTGTAAATTATTTTTGCTTTTATTGGAATGATATGTAGTTTTATGATCATATTTCTATTGATAAATAGTATTGTTACAATTATTTGGGAGGATAATTAAAATATATCTTTTAGGAGGACTGTGAAAATCTCATACTTTTATCTAGGGAGCTTCATCAGCTACTAACAACAAACGCAGGTATGTAAAAATAGAGTAATTGAAAACTTAATTTTAGTTAGAAAAATAAATTGATAAAAGGCAATTTTTTTTAAAAAAATAATAAAAATTTTTTTATTTAAAATCTAGGGGTAAAAACCAAGATCTTTTAAAACCACTTTTTACTCTATTGATTTTGATTTTATCACTCCCTTTTTTTCGCGTATTTATATTTAAAAGGAAATCATTAATATAATTTGGTATTATTTTAATTAAATAAAAATAGAATAATGGAAAACTAAATTTTTTATTGACAGTCTCGGGGTAAAAAACCAAGAGTGGTATTTTTTTGTAGCATTTTCAATTTTTTCTATTGATTTAGATTTTATCTCCCTTTTTTTTCACTTATTAATATTTAAAAGGAAATCATTAATATAATTTTGTATTTTTTAATTCATTTATTTTGTTTTCAATTTTAGATTATTATGTTGATGTCTGGATTTTGTTTCTTAATTTAAATATCATATCTGAAAGACTGAAGTTTTAAAAAGTGATGAATTTAATCCTGCATTAGTCTTAATTATTATCACAACACAGGATGTTTCTCGAAACAAAAAAGTTTTTGAGAAGGTTGAGTTTTTAGTTTGGCAAGTACAGGATTCATATTTGTCCTTATTAAAGATATTGTCCTGATTCTCAGTATTTTGTCCTGATATTCCTGATTTCTTTTTGTTAGGTCAGAATGTATCATATCATCTAACAAGCAATTTTAAAAGAATCACTCTGATTTCTTTCTGTAGATAAGAAATACAAACTCTTTTCATCATTAGCTAATTATAGACACATAATCCAAAGTCATGCTCATCTATGGTCTTTCATTCATAGGCTACTGAAGAAGTGCAAATTTTTTATTTATCTATTTATTTTGAAATAAAAGAATCTAACTGTGCACTTGCTGAACTCCAAAATATGTCTGATTAAATATAAATACTGCAGCATTGATCATATTATGCCTCCTATTTTAGAAAATATAATAATTTTATTCATTTTTTTGTCTTTTATATTGTTTTATCGTTTTCTTACATCATTTGCTTTCTTAAATGATTACAGTTTAAAATAAAAATTTCTAGTTTTCTTTAAAAGTCTTGAAGGAAATATTTATGTTGGATTACACTTTGTTTTCAAATCATAGTAATCTGTTTAATTACTATTATTATTTTATTTTAATAAACCATGAAAGTAGTCATTGAATTTGGGAGTCATTCACTAGTTTTTGATTGTATTGTTTTGATACAGTGCTAATTTTAGTTGTTTTGTGTTGGTGTGTTTATTCAATTATAACAAAACTTAAGAATTTTTTAAAAATCATAAACACAATATGATATTTTGAATCTTCTAATAAACATTCACTATTTACTCATCATTCAGCTTTATAATCTTGTTTCAGACTTTTTTCTTCTTATAAAAAAAGAAACTCAGCATTTTTGGTGTCAAAATTTTTTCTAAATATGTCACATTGCTAATTGGAAAGTGGTGATAAAGATAAACTTATTATCATATTTAGTCATTTTTTCTCTTGTCCAACAAATTGCATTGAAAACATTGCTTTTAATTTTTTTGTACTTTTCATTTCGTTCATTGCAATCAAAAGTATTTTTAAATGTCCATTTACTTTAAGTAATAGCTTTTACTTTCTAGATAACAATGCAATGTGTTTTCTTATCATTTATTTTGTATACTTCACTGTGTAGAAAATATACTTTTAGTATGTAGATTTAGGTAATTATTCTTTAGTGTGTAAATTGTATACGATTTAGTTTTGAATTAATTTATTTTAGCATGGAAATAACTTAAGAGTTGCCAGAAAATGACAGGAATTTAAAAATCACCTGAAATAACAGGGAATTTTGAGTTTTTCTATACAAACTGGGAAAATACAGGGAATTGTATTGCTTATTTTCGTCTTTTAAAAGTGGTGACCACTCAAAGCGTGATCCATGGGATATTTAATGATGATATTTCAGCTATACTAAACTATTTCATTTACTATAGCATTATTTGTTTTTAGTATGTTAAGTTGTTCCTTATTTCTTTAAGTTTTTCCAGCTATGAAAACTAGTACAATTAGCCTAATATAGCTCCCTCAAAAGCACAGTGATAGGGTGTTTCATCATAACAAGGATGAGATTTTTCCGCTTTTCAGCGGATTTCTGCCTTTTTTGCTTTTGTCTCTCGAATTTCAGCCTTTTTATCAAAAACTCTGATTCTCTAAAAGTTTCAGTTTTTTGAGTAAATATTCCATTTTTCTGAAAATTCAACCGTTGAAATGAAATAAATATATTTATTTCCGATTTTCAAAGATAAACAGAAAATTGAAACTACGTAGCTGCCAACCCTTCCGCATTTTTAATTATTTTAGCTATTTTCTCCGCTTTTACGAGCAGAAAATAAGATTTTTCGCATTTTTTTGTATTTACGTGTTTTTAAAATCCTATGCAGCGACTCGTATTCACGCAAGTTTCAAACCCAATATGTGGTTGTAATATCAAACATCAATTTTCGTAATTACACACGATTTAAAAATTAGGCTTTGCATTCATATCCACACGTTACAGAAATTATCAACCGTGATTCAATATTTTCACATTTTTAAAATCCTATATTGAGTTTCATATTCGCGTGATTTTAAAGTCCAATATCGGGATTCATATTCACGCGATTTTAAAATCCAAGATCGCAATTCTTGTAAAAGAAAGATTTTTTTTCTTGAATTAGNGCGTAATCTATGGGATATTTAGCCATGATATTTCAGCTATACTAAACTATTTCACTTACTATAACATTATTTAAATATGTTCAGCTGTTTTCCCACCAATTAAAACTAATAAATATAGTTAGCCCTATATAGCTCACAAAAGAGCACAGTAATTGTTGTTTCCTTTTAATATATTGTGTATAATAGTACAGGGAAAACACAGGGAATTTTTTTTCCAGATTTGAGTGGCAACCCTGTTATTAAAAAAAAATTAATATTAATGTATGTTCTCAGAGTAGTTTAATGTGCTAAACTAGACATTCTCAAGTTATAATTGTCTCCTTTGTGACTGTAGAAAAATATAATTTCTAGCTTTATTTTTTTCATTTTTAATTTTACTTTTTACTAAATGTTAAGTGTCGATGGTAATTATTCATATGTTAATAAATTAGTACACAATTAATTTTATATCAACACGTAGTTATTTATTATCTTAAATTGTCTGGAATTTGTTATTAAACGATTGCACGCTCATAAGATTTACTTGCGTGAAAATTCAGCTTTTTTGCCTTTTGCCCAATCTCATCCTTGTCATATATTGTGTATGATATGTGCAGGGATTTTTTTTTCTCTCCAGATTTGAGTGGCAACCCTGTAAACTATATATATTAGTTTTCTTTTAAACTTATTTCGATCATTTTTATATTGCGGAACCCATTTACGAAATCAACAAAATTCAGCTTCCTAGATTTCACACATTATCTACATATGTTTTAAAGAAATATGATGCACAAAACAAGATTTAAAATAGAGTTGTATTCTAGTGTCTTTGTGTTTCACCAAATAATACCCTTATTTTTTAATTAAAGGTTGTCCTGATTATTATTTTCAAGCAGTACAAAGCCTGCAGGTGGCATTTAGAGTTTTTTTTTTATAGTGTCAATAGTATATAAATTAATTTTAATATATATTAATAAACACTAATATAGATAGTTCAAAACTATAATCCTTACTCTAGTTTGTATAATTTATGAATGTATAAAGTTCCGTTAATTTTAATCGGATCAATAAACTATCTTATTTCTCTTTTTTCTGAATTAATTGATAATGGATATTGCATTACATGATAACATTTAGATTTTCCTAATAAATTCACTGCAACTGCATCTTTTATTTAATCTTCCATTTTTAAGGTTGAAAATCATTTGATACTATTTTACAGGCATTTATGATTGTGCTACAGATGAAGAAAATTTGACTCGTGAAATGACCATTCCAGATGCAAGAATAGCTATGAAAGATTATTTTAATCATGAAACTAAATATGAGGTAATTGTTTTAATAGTTGTATTTTTTTGTAAATTATTATGTATATTTACATTTATTTATTATTATTTTTTGTCTGTATAACAATAATCTATTTTACATTAGCACTTAAATACCATATTACTTGGCAGAACACTGTTTGCTATACCAGGGTTAGTACAAGCTCTTAAAATCTTTTAGAGGTTTCATAATAATTGAAGAAAAAAATTTTTCGTTGGATTTTTTCCCCCCGTAAATTATTATGTATATTTACAATTTTTATTTATCTGTATAATAATATATTAGCACTTAAATATTGCTTCGCAGAACACTGTTTGCTATATCAATGTTAGTATGAGCTTTTAAAATTTTTTACAAGTTTCATAATTGTTAAAATATTTTAAAACTATTTTTTTTCAATGGATTTTTGTTTTTGTAAATTATTATGTATATTTACAATTTTTATTTATTTATTTTTTATTGTCTGTTTAATAATAATCTATTTATATTAGCACTTAAATACCATATTATTTCGCAGAATACTGTTTGCTATACCAGGATTAGTACGAGCTCTTAAAAACCTTTAGAAGTTTCATAACTATTAAACAGTTTTTAAAGGATTTAATGCTTATTTTTCATTGTTGTATTTAAAATTTTTTCCAGGCATAATTTCTTGGAATGTTTTTAATTTAGTCCTCATGCAGAAAATTCTCTCTCTCTCTCCATTTAAATACAACCCCTTTTTACAAGAAACGCTAACTTAATTAATGAGATATCATCTAAATAAAATAAAACGAATCCAATAACTTTTGTTCTAATGTTTCTGTTTTACAATACTAGGACTTTTTCTTTGTGATTTGAGGGCTTAATCTTAATTTCTGAAAATTATTTCATGCAGACGATATTTTAAGTTGCCAAATTAAACACTAGTTCTTTTTAATTAACATATTCTCTTTTAGATCAAATTCTCAAAATATTGCAGATGTAGCTATAATCTGGAAAATATTGTCTTTGCATTTTTGGATGAAGAGCAATTAAAAATTTGGTCCCCTTAATGTTAATTTTGGCATATTTTGCGATATCTTTGCCGACAAAGCAAAAAAAAAGAAAATTCTTACTGAAGTCTTGTTTTATTACCTTAATACAAGTGAGACTTATTCAGAAGGTTAGCAAATATTTTATTCACCATAGCTGATCTATTTTTCATCCAGACTGTTGCCATTCAACATATAAGAAATAATTTATAATCATCTTGCTTAATCGGTTCATTATTGATTAACAGTAATACTACAGAGAAAAAAAAGTAATGAGAGAAATGCTATAAACAAAATAAAATTAAGATTAAAAAAAAAGACCAAAAGGCTATAAACAAAATAAAATTAAGANGGTTCATTCTGGATTAAGAATAATACTACAGAGAAAAAAAAGTAATGAGAGAAATGCTATAAACAAAATAAAATTAAGATTAAAAAAAAAGACCAAAAGGCTATAAACAAAATAAAATTAAGAAGAAAAAAATGACCGAAATGCGATAAACAAAATAAAATTAAGAAGAAAAAAAATTAGCGAAATGCTATAAACAAAATAAAATTAAGAAGAAAAAAAATGAGCGAAATGCTATAAACAAAACGAGAAAATGAAGAGCATTTAACGAGCAAAATTGGTGTAAATAAATAAACAGCGTGAACCAACTAGTGGTATTTGTTCATCAAATTCTATGGCAGATAAAATTTTGGAAGGGGCGTAATGTGGCGTAACTACCACTACAAATATTAAATACTAAATCACTATTATATAAGACATGTTAACTTGATTCTATCAGGGGGTACCTTTTGATAGATGAAGGCTGACATGGTCGATATATAATTCCCCTCAGTACACAATTAGCTTGTTTATCCAGAAACAATTCCAGGTAAAAAATAAATTTTTTATTTTAGTTACTAGTGGTCGAAATGATTTTGTAACATATTCAGATTTATACAGGTATTGTTAGGTATGAAAATTATTACATCAAATTAATCTATTAAATTTTAAATGATGAAATCCCTAATTTAAAGAGAATTGGTCTAATAATTCTTAAAAATTTAAAAGTTTAAAACTGTAATTTTTAACAAAATAGGCAAAAGGTGATTGATTTTAGTGGGCAAGTAATTTAGTGAGAGTAATTTTAGTGAACATAAGCTTTAAGTTATGAATATATGTTTTTTTAAATATATGAATATATGTTTAAGTTATGAATATATGTTTAAGTTGTACCTTTGCCGGAATATAGTTCTTATCAGAATTGTTTTAGTAATGAAATGTTTTACAAGTAAATGAAATGTCTTAAAATGGTATGACTTGTTCCCTAGGACAGGTAACATAGTGAAAGAGCATAATTTCATGTTTATATTCTAAAATTATGCTAAAGCTGCTTAATGTTATTTGTTTTTCTTTTTCCTTTATAATTGTGATTTATGATATTTATTGAAAAATAAACAATATATCAAATCAAGTTTTGAGCTATGTTTTAGAAAAACTTATTAGCTAGTGATGACTGTGTTTAAAGTTTGGTTTGTTGTTAAAATTCTTGTATTTTCTATTAAAAAAATGATATACCTTTAAAAACTGTATCTGTTTGTGATGTTTTAAAGTTCTATAGTACTGTTTCAATACTTGTTTTTGTGTTTTGTTTTGTTTTTTAACTAGTATCTATTTATTTATTTCTAGGGGGACAAGTTTGAATTCCTTTTCACTAAATCTGTCTTATTGTTGATCAGATTTCCTGAAATGGGAATTAAGTAAGTTAGTTTGTTTCAATTATAATTCATGATGATGAATGCTGAATTTTATGGCATGTTTCTTTTCTGCATTTTAGTTTTTCTATTGAAAGAAATTTTGAACAAAAAATCATCTCACATTAAGTAGAATAAATCTGGACTCTCCAGTATATTATTTTAAATTTTAATCAAATGTGATTACAGATATCTGACAAGCATTAAGTTCTGCCAAAATTCCGACTGCAATAAAAAAATTAATAAAAATAAATAAATAATAAAAATAACTTCACTAAGTGTTATAAAGCTTTAAACATAAACAAAATTTTCATTCTGATTTTTTTTTTAAATCTAAAGTTACAAAGACTTAAAAAATATTTCTACAAAATATCTTTGAATTTAATCAAAAAATTCCAAATTGCAATAATGTTTACCCTTCAATGCACCCACACAAAATATGCAACCAAAATTTTTATTGTCTTCCTTTTTTGCATTTTAAGTTAAGTTTAACCTTTTTCTTAACAGCTAAGATTTACATAATGTATGTTTCTTATCTAATTTTGATTCTATTGGGCCTCCTAACTGCCGATGCTTTACAGATCTTGTTTAAACAGATATTAAGAGAGTTTGTAAGATTCTTTTAAAATGAAGGTGTAAGATTGGACACTTTTGGTTAACCCTCATATGGTAAAAATAGTGTTTTGCACTTAAAAAAAAAAAAAAAAAAAAAAAAATTTTTNAAAAAAAAAAAAATAATTGCTTAGTCATTCAATCTAAAACTAGCTAACTATTTTAGCTGTGTGAAAAATTTTGTTTCAGTTTTTTTTCTTCTAGAAACAAATCTTATTATATTAGATTTTCTGGCTCTTTTGTACTACAGTGTAACGTCTCATATCCGGACGTCCCTTTTCCGGAAGGATCGATTTCCCGGACTCTTTTTAACAATCAAAATAAACAAACATCTCTTCATCTTCCCCTTTCTTTAAAAAAGAAAAAAAAAAGGTCTTTTTGCACGTTTTCTCTTCTAGCTTGCACTGAACCCCTGATTTATGCATTGAACCCATAAATCACAAAGGGGAAGAAGAGAAGATCTACCAAGACCATTGAGTGACCGTTAGCGACGCTCCTACTCTGTAATGCATTAAAAGAGGGAGATTTGTTTTCAAAAGACCACAACTGCGTCCCCTCCCCTCTCTTTTCCTATGCAGCTGGCTAGTAAAAGAGGCATTTCCTGGAAACTTTTTATTGAAAGAAAAGGGTAAACGCTGCAAGCATTAACGTTGAGGGGGAGTCAAAATGGAACATTTGAATAGGTCTAAAGGGATACATGTCCTTGAGAAACATTCATTCTTCCCCTGACCATGTAATATTTAGGAGGCGGGGAAAAAAAGGGGGTAACATTCTTTCTTTAGCAGATTCCAGGGGTGATTGTGCTCCGGAAAAAGTCCGGATTTCCGGAATTTTCACTAACTCTGATCCGGAAGTTTCCGGAAATCGAAGGTCCAGTTGTTTTAACAAATCATTGATCACAAAACTTTCCGGAAATCAATGATACAGGGTTGCCTCCGACAACTAAAAAGCTACTATTTTCGGCCTTAGGCGACTATGGCGCTTTTTTTTGTGCCTGAAAAGGCTAAAAAAGCAACTATTTTCAGGAATAGGCGACTATTGGGAGACTTTTTTACTCTTAGCGAAGTTTTTTCGCAAAAATGAACGTTACTTTTCAGTCCCCTCGCTAATACGTGCGTAGTGCTGCCTACCACGTGCATGTGCTCAGTGACGTCATCACGCTAATCACTCCCTTGTTATTTAACCCCACGGAAGAAAAAAAAAATCTGCTTTCCTTCATTATTCTCTCGTTCAAGTGGAAGCGTNATTTTTTTTTCTAATACATATTTTATGTTTGATTGATTAGATATTCTAATACTAAAACATTATTCCCCTTAAAAATAATGTTTATTTATGTTTTGCTTCTTAGATTCAGATTGTTTATTAGATCATTTTAAGCTTTGTTTACCTTAGGGGTCAATTATACAGAAAAATCTATTATACGGACTTCTGGAAGTCCCACCGATTCCGGATATGCGACTTTACACTGTATTATATTCTTTTCTCATATCATGCCATCTTTCTTTTATTATCTGCATTTTCACTTATTCCTATTTAACTAGATCCACAAGGAACCAAGCTAAGGAAAAAGAGAAGTCTCAAAATTTCTATATAATTTGAAATATTATAAAACTGTATTAAAAATAAATTATGGAATTAATAATGTAGTTAAAGGTAAAAAATTAAAAGCTCATTATATTAAGCGTAGCGTTTTTAAAGAGTGCTCATTTTTTATATTCATTTTTAAAAGCCCTTAAAGGTGCTTAAGTGCTTAATTTTCCCTTTTCGAAAATGAGATTTTTTTCTCACGATCACCCCTAAGTATATTTCGACATGCTAAAGAAAACTAACTGGCGTAGTGAAGGATTACAGTGTAAATATGAAAAAATTTGCTGTTATTGGCACAGAAGCTACCTTTTGGCAATAATATCGGGTTTGAAGAGACTGGTCGACGGAATAATTCCAAAGTGCAATTATTCATGCAACGTGAAATTTTTATGAGATGTGGGTTGAGAAAACTCTATTCTTGCTAATTGACAATTAATAAGAAGAATATGTTTTCAGATCTTATCCTGTGTATGAAGAAGAAAAAAAAGGTGTACTATCCCTACAAGTGAATGAAACCATCCCTTTTAGTGCCTTGGAGGCTATACAAGGGTCCAAGTCTCTCATGTGTCGCATTCGCCTCTCTCTCAAGTGGACTCTTACAAAAATTATACTTTTGTGTGGTGGTAAGTCACCATTTAAATTATTTCTGAAATCCTGAAATTATATATTTAAATCTCCTGCTTATTATGTCGCATTCCCCTCTTTCTCAAGTGGACTCTTACAAAAATTATACTTTTTGTGCGGTAGTAAGTCACCATTCAAATTATTTCTGAAATCCTGAAATTATATATTTAACATGGTGCATAGGGTTTTCAAAAAGTGTTTAATTTCCATTTTCAAAAAGGAGATTTTCTTTTCTTTACCATGTCTATTTTCGCCACACATTATGCAAAAACGTGCTTTTCACATTGTTCCATTCAATGTTTTTAGCACATTCAACAATAATCCATTACGAATTGACGTCTGTCGGTAGCGTATGAAAGCGCTAATCGTTTTACATATTTGATGAAATGCTTGTGAGTCTACTGAGCTGGATTCGGTGAGATTCTTGCCCTCTCATGTGCAACTCTGCTTTCCAGATATTCTCAATTTCAGTATTCATTTTCCACCCTCTGATACCGAACCAAAAAATCTCTTAATCGTTTTATAATAGCTAATAATTTAAAAAAAAAAGAGTTCTTTGTCAGAAACTAGTTATTTTATCATAATCATGTAATGTCTTTAAAAATTATTTTACATTTTGTTTATAGTATATAGTGCCTAAAAATATTTTTGAGTGCTTAAAAAGTACTTAAAAAAGTGCTTATTTTAATATTTTTTGTTGAAAGATTTGGCTGAGCACCCTGTTTATATCTCCTGCTGATTATTATTGTCTTTTCTTTCTTTTTTTAGTTGTGAAATACAGTCGGACTTCTGTTTAACGAACTTCCATTTTGCGAATTTCTCTATTTTTCTATATTTCTCGATTTTTTTTCTTTTTCCTGTAACATACCTGCCAAGTCTCCTGTTTTTTATAACTATCTCCTGTTTACCCGTATATTCTCAAATTTCTCCGTATTTGTGGAAAAAATTTAAAAAAAAAATTGCTTATAAAATATCCATGGATACTACTGCCAGTACTGCAATATGTTGAGTGCTAATAGTTTAAGTACCCCTTGTGGTCAAGTTACCCATAGGACGCTTTCATGGTTTTCCTCTCTATATAACGCAAATGTGGGTTAGTTCCTTCAAAATGTCCTCCACGATGGCAAATTTTTGCCAATACTTGATTGATCCAGTATTCTTCCAGTCTAGTCTTCTGGATTGGGTTCAAAATTACAAGGCGACGGAGTTGAATATTAGTAGCCGTAAATCTAAAATTATGTGGGCTGTTTAACAACGGCTATGAAATAGCTTAATGATTTTAAAAAATCCTTTATAGATTAAGATTTATATACATATTTTTTACTTCGCTAAATGTAAGTGCTTATATTATTTTCAATTTTGAATTTCTCTTTTTGACATACACGATTATACATGATGTATCAAAACTTTTTTCATAGCTCAAAAAATGTTGCTAGTAAAATCTCCGTTATTTTATTTCTACAGTGTTGGCAGGTATGCAATAAAATTTTGGAAATTTCTTTATAAAATGACTTCTAAATAGCAAAATTTTCTATTTAACGAAATTTTCTTTGAGATCTACTTTCCCTATTTCCCAAAATATTTCAGAACATTTCAAACTTGTTAACGCATTTTATAGGGGAAATGGCCTTGAATTGATTTTCGAAGCCACTTTTCCTGAAAGCATTAAAACCCCTTTCCCTTTTTGTTTGCATTTCAAACGATAAACTCACACAAAATTAACCGATTTTATCAGTAACAATTAAACTTAAGAATGCATGTGATAATGTATGTTTAAAATTACTTTTATAGTAAATGCAGCTATAATTTTATACACAAATTTAGCTTTTTTTAGTTGAAAATGTATGTAGTATGATAGTGGTACACTGGATAATGTTTTGCTCTATTCTTGCTTTCCATGCAGATTTCTTTTATGGTTAAGATTTATAAAATAAATAGTATATATATATACTAGCTTACAAGATGAAGGTGTATCAATTGCTATTTTAATTATGTCTAGTGTTTATGAATTTAAAACCTATTTTGTGTTTATGTATTTCAAAAGGTGATTTTCTACTTAACAAACTTTTTATAGGGATTTAGTGACTTCGTTAAATAGACATGGCGCGTAGCGTTTTTAAAAAGTACTTAAAGGTGCTTATTTTAAATTTTTGTTTTTAAAAGTCCTTAAAGGTGCTTTTTTGCAGGTGTGTTTGGGCGTTTTTAAAAAGTGCTTAGTTTTCCTTTTTCCAAAATGAGATTTTTTTTCTTTACCATGTTGATTTTCGTCACGTATTACGCAAAAGCATGCTTTTCACAATTCATTCAGCCACAATTTATTTCGGTGTACCATCGGTCCATAGTGTATGAAAGCCTCAATCATTTTACATGTTTGATTAAACACTTGCGAGTCCGCGTTTGCATCTACTGAGCTGGGTTCGGTGAGATTATTGCACTCTCATGTGCAACTGCTGCACTTTGCAAGATATTCTCAATTTCAGGCTTCATTTTCCACCCTCTGATATCAAATTGAAAAATCTCTCGATCATTTTATAATGGCTAATATGATCAAGAAAAGAGTTCTTTGTCTGTATCTAGTTAATTTATCATCATATAAAGTCGTTGAAAATTATTATGCATTTTGTTAAAGTATATAGTGCTTAAAAATATTTTTTGAGTGCTTTAACCCCTTAACTGCCGAGTAAAATTAATGTGATTCACTCCCCAGTGCCACGGTTTTTCGCTCAAGTGCACTTTCTTACACGGTTTTTTGGTGGAGAAAATGATGCACGCTTTGTAATTTAAAAACAGTTTAATTTTACAAGACAAGAAATAGGAAAGAATGAAAGTACAAAATTTGAATTAAATAATAAAAATACAATATAAAAGATGTTAAAACTTAGCTGTTGTATGATAAATCCTGAAACATGGTTGGACACATAAACCAACATCACATTCATCGCACTGATAGCGGGATTCACGACGAATTTTTTTTCTTGAACAAACAGCACATTTTCGCGATGCATTTTTCTTTGAAGACGTTGATGGAAAGAATAAAAAGCACCAAATACATACGGGAAACAAAAGCGAAAAAAGAATAAACCCGACCTTACTCAAATAAATACACACAAGCGATTAATACGATATCACTTTTCCATAACATCCTTTTCCCATTCCCCCTCCTCCGAAATTAGTAATACATTCGCAAAGCAAACACTTTCAAGGCCATTTTACTGCATTCTGAAGTAGGGGGTGTAGTTCTATTTATAGCAGCGCAATGCAAAGCATCGTACTTCGGGAAAGCGTATATATACGCCTGCGGCAGTTAACGCATCGTCTGGCCGAGACGTATATATACGCCCGCGGCAGTTAAGGGGTTAAAAGTACTTAAAAGGTACTTATTTTTTGTTGAATGATTTGGCTACGCACCTTGATAGAGGTCCAACTGTAGTTGTTGCTTTTTGTTTTATTCCTTAAAAGTGATAATTATGCTGCATTTGGTAGAAAAATTAAAATTCCTAATTGTTCAAACTGCTTAAAACAGCTTTTGAAATATTTTAATCTTAATACCTCTATTTGTTTACAGTTGGAGTTCTTTTATCTGTATGCTTCTTTGTTACAAAATTATGGAAGAAGCGGAAAGAAGACCAGGAAAAAATGTTTTATGAGATGGTTGAAAAAGTAATTGGTAAGTTCATCTCCTTTTCACATTGTCATTAAATTACGATAGGTATTCAAGACTCTGTTTCTTCAATTCCTACTGTTAGTAGGCACTCTCCTTATATCTTGTTCAAATTTTAATCGTTAATAAAATACTTTTTATTCATCAATTCAAGGTCAAATATATTTTTAAAACTTGTAGTAGATGGATGAAACTTGATGTTAATACAGTTTTTTCAAATATTAATTCATTAATTAAATAGGAATGAGAAACGAAGAAGAATTTTCTGATTTGTTAAGTGTTAGTCATTGTTTTAAATTTTACTTTAAGCAATACAGTTTTTCACACATTTTAAAAAATAACATCAGTGATAATTTCTAACTTATAGCTCTATTTGAACAAAAAAAAAATAGTTTATTGCGCATATATAAATATTTAATTTTTTTATATTCGCTGTGTCAGATAAATTCAATAAAGAATATGACGTGGTAGCACGTGTGGTCCACGTCACCAAATTTATATTTTTATAGTTGTCTGATACAACACGCCTTTTTTTTCTCAATTCCTGTTATTAGTTAACACTCTCCTTGCTATTCATTAACACTCTTCTTATTTATATATCTTGTTCAAATTTTCAATCGTTAATAAAATACTTTTTATTTATCCATACAAGTTCAAATACATTTTTTAAAACTTGTAGTGGATGACACTTGATGTTAATACAGTTTTTTCAAATATTAATTCATTCATTAAATTTGGTTAATTAATATATGGGAGAAATATTTTAATTATTTAATAAAAAGTAGCTAAAATAGAATGTTTCTTTGTTGACCTAAGTAGGAATTTACTTTAAAATTTTTTTTTTATATTACTTGTTTTCAGATATTCTTCAAGAAACTTCGGAGTGGTCTGTAAGCAGTGAACCTTATAAAGCTGTTGTGAAAGTTAGAGATGCTGTCATTCCTGCCAAGGAAAGGTAGGCACATAAACCAGGGTTCACGTAAACTTATTTTTTTCCTAAAAATGGATCCTCCACAAAATATTATGTTTAAAGAATATATCCTTCACAATATCCTTAAAAAAATAATCTTGCAAAATTATTTATTTTAAAACAGAGGTCTAGTGGTTACTGTACTGGACTATAAGACCAGTGATTGCAGGTTCGATTCCCACCTTAGACATGGCTGTAACTTTCTCTCTGTGTCTTCTATGTCCTTTCTTCTGTAACAGTAACAATGATCAGTTATTGAGATTCAAGTTAAATAATTCAAAAATCTATTACATTTATTATTTGTTGTAAAAATTTCACATTTCAGTGAAACTGCCATGTTTCTCTCATAATTTAGTTATGTTTTTTTGCTCATGAAATCTAATATTTTGCATTGCAAATTTTAAAAAAAATCACATAATAAAAATGTAATTGTATAGATATATATGGTCTGAATTTTCATTAAAATTTATCTGATATTCTTGGAAAAATCAGGGAGTTTATTTATTTATTATTATTTTTTTGTATGTCCGTCGTCGAACAACCGACCCAATTTTTGGGTTTACGACTACTATTGTCCACTCCGTAGCTTTGTAATTTCGAACCAATCCAGAAGACAAGGAAACCCCTGGATCAGTACCCCCAGAGGTATTGATTTGTTATGGGAACACGGAGGACTTGGCGACTCGACAGATTTAACGTGCATCAGTCACCTTTTACTACACGAGGAGTCTTTGGCCATCGGGGATCAAACTCTTGGACATGGGCCAAGTGCCCTACCAACCAGGCTATCCCAGCCTAGGCAGTTTATTTTCTGAAATTGAGTGAGAACCATGTAATACACTATCTGTCCGAAAGTATCTGGACACCCAGTAGACTTAGAGTGTCCTGAGGCGCACATTAATATGATGTTGGCTCCCCTTATGCATCGATGGCAGCCTGCACACGTCTTTGAAGTCTTCCCCCACCAGCTTTTGATAGGTGTCAACAGGAACTGACTTCTATCACAGCTGAAGTGAGGAAGGTCGATTTGGCTGACTATGTAATCTGAGCTCTAATTCATCTCAAAGGTGTTCTATAGGATTTAGATCAGGGCTCTGAGAAGGCCCGCCCATATTTTGAACACCCATTTCGTCAAACCACGTCTGTGTAAGCCTTGGTGTGTGAAAGGAGCAGTTATCCTGCAGGAAGAGAAACGGGCTGAAATATTGCCCTAGAGTAGGGAGTGCAGCATTGTCCAGAATGTCCACATACATCTCAGAGTTCATGTTAGCTCCACAGGAACTAACGGACACAAGCCAAACCACGAGATACATCCCCACACCATCATGTGTCCACCATAACAATCAGGTGTCCAGATACTTTTGGCGAGATAGTGTATATTTCTTCAAAAAAAATTTTTATTTTTTTTCTCAGATGGTAGGCAGTAATTTATAAAATTGCCTCGTATGTTAAATTTATTTGTTTATTCATTTATTTATTTAATTTGTGGCAGAAGAGGAAAATTGTGGCTTTGGGATAGAGTTGTAGCATTTATTGAAGAGAATGAGTCAAGGGTATCTGTGGAATATCGAACCATAAATGGAGAAGATTTTAAAGTATGGAAATGGCAACCATTCACTACCACAGAAGTAAGAGTTATTTTGAATTGTTCTAATTTTTTTAAATTTATATTACAGGTAATGCTAACATTAATCAAATAAAGAAATGAGAGGCTTTTATCCTAATTAAAACCTATCGTATATAACACAGAGTGTGTAGCGTTTTAAAAAAGTGCTTTGATGTGCTTATTTTTGATTTATGTTTTTTAAAAGCCCTTAAAGGTACTTTTTTTTAATTTGGGGTTTGTAAAAAATGCTTAATTCTCTATCTTTTAAAAAGAGGTTTTTCCTTTGCCGTGTCGATTGTCGTCATAAATTACAAAAAATACATGACTTTCACAATTTTCTCTGCAATATTTATCGGAAACTAGTTATTATGATCATGATTAGTTTTTTATAATGTTTTTGAATTTTATTGATTTTATGTGTATGAATAACGAACTTTAAACGATAGAAAAAAAGTCATTTTTATTACTGCACAGATCCTGATTATGAATTATTTTTTGGGGGGAAAGGTATTCAAAATATTTTTGAGTGCTTAAAGTGTGCTTATTTTTTGTTGAAAAATCTGGCTACGCCCCCTGTAACAGCATAGTTATAATTCCTAAACTTTTTCTTTGCATTATTTCCAGATTAGTACTTTGAAAACTCTTAAATTTCCACTTGCAAACTACAAGAAAAAACATAACCATTTTATTGTCTGTATGGAATTTTTCTTTTTTTGCAAGACTGGCTGTCTAAGAAATTCTCCTGAGCAATTTGAAAAATAGGCTTATCATTGTATCGCTCTAAGCTTTCCAATTCAATGATTTCTTACAGATCTGAAAATTACCTGATAGGCCATGAAACACCTTAATATTCATTATTTAAGTTCAACGAATGCTTAGAATGATTTCTTTGGTTTATGAAAATATTTTTATCATAACTGAGAATATTTCTATAAAATTTCGTCGCAATTAAGCTATTAATTATAAAAGAGTATAATTTAAACTGTCTATACTATAATTTAAAATAAGTCAATAAATAAATCATTCTTTCAAAGAAAATGGCACAAACGCTTTTGATGTATGAAACATTCTAATTGAAATTCAATTTCCAAACAATGAATTAGCAAGTTGAATTTAGTATTTGAGCAAATCGTTTCCTTATTGTCATTCTAACTAATCTTTACCCTTTCTTGTTCTTACATTTTACTTTTTTAGCACTAAACAGAGAATATTTATATTTTTGTTTGAATTGTAAAAATAGTATCTATATCTAAATATTTTTTTTCTAGTCATCAACTTCTGAAGAGTTTTTATATTTGTTCAAAAATATTTTTCTTGGTTCAGTTTTACATTTATGTATTTTATACAGTGAAACCTATCGGCAGCGACCACACTCCATTCCTCAGTAAAATGATTATTGATGGAGGTTTGTCGTTCTCAGAGGTTACCTCTATTGACTTCAAAATTGTTATCCTAAGCGCATAATTTTTCGCAAACTATTTTAATTTTAGTCATTGTCTTGGTGCAGACATGCCACTTTTGTTGGCGTCATGAAAAGCGCACCAATGAATAAAATTTAGCGTCTATAAAAATGATCCCAACTGATATAATTATATGTAAAAACAAATTTATCAATTTTGAACGATAAAGCTATTTTACATAAATAAACAATTATGTTTTTTTGAAGTTTGAGTTTAACTTTATAACATAAAAATTAGTTAGCTTTATTAAAAGAAGAGAAGATTTTTTTTGTTTTGTTTCAGATGCTTGATTTTTTTTAAATAACTTTTTATTTTTCTAATTTAACTTCTAACTCTAAAAGTAAATCATTGATAGCATAATGTTTTGTGCATCTTCTGTTCAGAGGTGGTCTGACTGCAACATAAATATTTTTCGATATTTTTTTGTGTTTCTGTATTTGATCTTTTCCGCATTTGGTGCAGATGTTTGCCCGGTTTCTAAGAGAGGTTTCAATGGTCTCTCTTAAAGGTTTTCCTCTCAAATTCTATGGAAAAAATTCCGTGCCTCTCAAAAGTGGTTGTAAATAGAAGTAGTCGCTATATAGAGGTGGTCTTTCCTGGAGGTTTCACTGTAATAAAATTCTATGCACTACAGAAACTATATTGACTGCTAACGCTAAAGTGTAGAAATCAATTATTCTGCAGAGAATCTAGTCAAGCAAAGTAAATTAGGGTAATCAGTTAAAGTGCCAAAAATTTGTTTCGTTTTTAAACTACCAAGATAATCTGCTTTACTATGTTATTTACCTGAATTACTATGTTATTTACATTAAAGTGAAAATAAGATCTTCGCTGGGGCAACAATTAATAAAAATCTATAAACGTAATACTAAAATTTCTATGCACGACAGAAACAGGGTTTGTTTATTTAAATCAACTGATTTTTTTATATATATATATATTGATTTTAAAAGTTAAAAAATAGTGTTTTAAATTATTGATACTTTAATTATTTTCTTTTCTTAGTTTTAAAATTTATTTTAAATAAATTGCTGCATTAATTAATTTTAGTTAAGGAAATTACTTTCTTTCTTGATGTGTGTTAAATTCCAACACATTTGAAATTACATTTTTAAAAATCTTTTGATTCTTGAGATTGAAAGTACAGATTAAAGTAAGCATTTGATGCAGTCTTGATATAGACTTGCATAGCTGTAGAAAGTAATTAATAAACATGAAATTTTTTCCAAAAAAAGTGCAAATAATGTTAATGAAAACTCTACGTTTTGATGGAAAAAGCATGGAATTAAAATTTACATTATATTTTATTAGTGGAAGACGTATATTTCTAAAACTTGAGGTTATATTAAAAAGAAATTACTCTAATATGCCAAAAATGTACTCTATATGCCTTTCAAAGTCTATTTGAAGCAGTGGGATTATTAACTGAAAACTGGTATTTTTTTCTCATAATATGTTTACAGTATCTTTGACATTATCCAATTTTCTATAAAAAAAAATTTTGTGAAAAAAATTCCAATGTATGAGTTCATAGATTTTTTAAAAATTCTTTAGCTTTTACTTATCTATTTCGATATAGGATTAAAAATGAATGTTTTAATATAAAAATATATAAATTAAATATTTATTTATTTTTTGCTGAATGAATACATTTATAAACAGAATCTGTTACATTTATTTTGCCATTTTAAGAATCTAGAAATTTTTTTTTAAAAAACCGTAATTTTAAATGAAAATTATGGTTTGCTAATTGAAACTTTGTTTTAATAGTTAAAGAACAGGGGTCTATCCAAGCCAAATTTATTGTATTGTATGGAGTCTATTACATCAGGGCACTAATTTACTTCAGGGGCAACAGGGTTGATTCTTTTGACTAAAAGGGCAGCAGGGTGCTGTGCCCTGTTTACCCTGCCTAGAATGAGCTCTGATAAACATCTTTATAGAATAAGGAATAATTATAAAATGAAATTTTTTAAAAAAAATTTCCATTTATTATTAATAATTTCTAATAAATTATCATTGTCAATTAAACAAGTTACTAACTTTCTTACTGATTCTTTGTTTATTAAAGGCTTATAATTCATGGGAAATTATGATGTTATATTTCACTTACATTTGGTAAAGTGTATAGTTAAATTAAAAGAGTCACATCATAATTTAAAATTTATTTATGTATTTTTATAGCATCTATCAAATATCAAATTTTACTATTTGGAATTATACCATATGTCTCAAAACTAACTCTTTACTTATAAGCTTGTTTTTGTGTAAATTGAAGTATTATAATTCAATAAAATGTAAATTATTGAAATCTTGCTTTTTTATGTTTTACTATTAAAAAATTGTCAAAAGTAAGAAATATACATTGGAAATTAAAACACAGTTGCCTTATTTTTATTCAATTTTAGTATTTAAATGCTTAAATATTTATTTGCTTTCCTTAATTATATATGTGAGAAAGTGTTTTATTTTGAGAGTATGTGTATTATCTAGAATATTCTAATTTTTACTGAGCTTATTATGTTGTATGGATATTTTTCATATGAATTTGAACATAATTTTTCATCAACAGAATGAAGGTGGTAAGCAAGGTAAAGTCTGGCAAGGTCAAGGTAATTACTGCACACATTATGTCAATTTTTTAACTGATATGTGTAAAGGTAATTATTAAAACATTTTTCTTTTCCTTTCTGCAGCATTTAGTAGCCTTGGAAAAGGAAGGAATACCATGTACAGCCTTAGTCCCTGCTTAAAGATAAGAAACATGTTTGACTCGGAAGTGTGAGTAATAATTTAGCTTTGCTATTTTCTCTCTCCCTTTTTTTCACTATTTCATTTTTCAATTTGAATATCAGTCTAAGCAGATGTGCTTTTAACATACCTGCCGAGTGTCTCTTGTTTTTTAACGAAGACTGCTGTATTTTGCGACTATCTCCTGCATTCTCAAATTTCTCCATATTCATGGAAGAATTTTTTTTTTTTTAAATTTGGTGCTGATATACTTCTTATTCCTCAACCGATGGTGCTATTGCCAGTACTGCAGCATGTTGAGTGTTTATAGTTTAAGTAATTATAAATAATGGTGTAAAAAGATCTTCTTTAGACTATATAATTTTTTTTTTACTTCGCTAAATGTAAGTGCTTATATTATTTCCAATTTTGAATTTCTCGCATGATGCATTAAAACTGTACACATAGTCTAAAAAATGTCAATAGTAAAATCTTCGCTATTTTATTCCTCCAATGTTGGCTATACCTTAAACTTATAAAACACATATTTCTTGTCGATGCTATATGTGAAATTATATGCATAAATGCTCACTTTCTCATAGTCAGTTTATTTTAAACAACATTATAGTTCATTTTAATATGGCAATAAAAGATGCTTTATGTCAATAATTAACAATGTGTTTCAATAATTAATCCATGTTTATTATTTTGAAAAAATAAAACTTAAGCAGTGGAAAACAGTTTTAAAATAAAAATTTTTATTTGTTAAAAAGGAACTTAATTTTGGATTTGGCTCTCCATTTTTTCTTGAAACCGTGCAACTTTAAATAAAAGCATGATTTTTAAAAAAACATTAGCAAATGCAGTAGAAATTCTTATGTGATTTAGATTAGTCATTTTATGTATTTGATACTTAAAGTATCAGGTTTTTGTAACTGATAACTAACTGATAACAAGAAAAAATAAATGTAATTGCAAAAAAAATTGGAACTTCAAAAATACATCTCTAATACATATCTAAAAAAACTTACCTTTACAAAAAAGAAAATTTTCCTATTTGTGCGCATATTCTGATAATAATTTTTTAAAAGAGCTTAAATGTATTTTTTAAATGCTTAAGAAGCGCTTATTTTTTGTTGAAGAATTTGGCAATGCACCCTGATTTAGTTTTATATGAAGAACTACTTGTTCTACCATGAGTCACTTAAAATAATTGATAATTGTTTTTTTTTCTTCTTTTATTTATTTTCCAGTAATGTTTCTAATTAAAGCTAATTCACTCTTTATTAGATATTTTTTGCCTAATTCCTTCCCTGCCTTTAAAATTCAATAGAATGTCTTGACAAAAATAATTGCGATTTAATTTATTCAATGATAAATTTTTTATAATTAAAATTTTTTTTTAGATTTACTTTTTTAATTGTTATATAATTTTTTATAGTATCCATTATTAATACATTTTATCACATGTTTTGGTAAGTATACTTAGAAAGTTAAATTACATTAGATCTAATTCAGATTTTTGCCAACCGAGGCTGAAATAATTTTTTAAATATTTCAGTGAATACGAGGAAAGCTGGCAGACTAGCATCCAAGATGCAATTTTAGAAAAATGTGAAGGAAATGATGGAATCAGGCATATTGCCATAGACACTTCTAACAATGAGGTATTTTATTTATTTTAAATGTTTTCTGTGAGCAGGGTTGGGGTTTTGGACAGGACATGTGGGTTTTACTGTCTAAAACTGTCCTAAACTGACTAAAACTGTCTTAAAGTGTTCAAAACCTTGAACATTGGTAAAAGGTAAAAATTCTATGTGTGTAACCATTTTGCACATAATGATTACATTTATTAATAAATATTTGATACTTTTTATATACAATTTGCTTTAGCTTATTAAAAGAAAATAATATAATATAATAGGTAAAGGTTTATAACTTTTGAAGCTCCACAATTCAATGAACAACGAAAGTGAATACCTTATCCTTTAAATACGAATAAATAAGCTTTAATACGGATAAATTATGTTTTTGCATAATGATAAATAAAGCAATATTAAATATAATTAATAACTTTTTAATAAAACACAAAATTTTCTTTATTTTTCTTGATTTCCTGATCATTCTTCATTTAACATTTTATTTTTCACAATATTTTTTTAAATCGTGACATAATTTGAATAAAAGGGTTTTGGACAGTTTAGGACTAACTGGTTTTGAACAGGACGGTTTAAACCGTGGATTAATCCATTCTGTCCTAAACCTTGCCAACTCTGTGAGTCATTTTCTTCAGAGTTCTTTAAAAAAAATTTATTTCATAGAGCTGCTTATGGTTCTGGAAACTTGCTTAGTTTTAAAATTTTAATGTTTTGAAATATTCTTGTAATCTTTTAGGTTTTTATCTACTGTTTAACTGCTGAGATTCTTCTAAAGTTTCTTAGTTCATTAGACTGTTAGTCCCTGAAAAATGTGCTTATTTACATTTCTGATTTTTTATTTATTCTTACTCCCTTTAAGTTTTTATATTGTTATATTGCGTAACGATTTCTTAAATCCTTATAAAGTTTTTTATTCATAAAAGTATTTTTAGAACATATCTTAAACGCTCAATGTTAGTTTTTTAATATTTTTCTTGGAAACTTTTCTTTTCTTAGAATCATACCTGCCAAGTCTCCTGTTTTTTTAACTAAGACTCCCGTATTTTACGACTATCTCCCGTTTACCTGTATATTCTTAAATTTCTCCGTATTTTTAAATTTTAAAATCTAGTTGGAAAGTGTTATTTTTGTTTAAGAATTTAAGTAGAAATATCTGTTTCCTTATTTAGTATCTATTATGAATGACTAAGCTAGGAATTCCTCATGTTTAAGCTGTAATTTTCAAGGTAGTATTTTGATTTTAGTATTACTTTTTTATTCAAGTATCATCCGTAAGACTAGTTATTTTTAAGAAATTAATTTACGTCATTTATTAAGAAAATAGATACAAAATTATAGTTTTAATTCTGAACCAATTACAATAAATAGAATTTTAAAAAAAATGTGTGTGTGTAATACTTTTTTGTTAAAAACACTTAAAAGTCTTGTCGCAAAAGTTCTGCAATGATGAACATTTTTAATAAGTAGCATTAACTGCTGCTAAGGCATATGTAGTTTACTTAACATATCCTGATTTTAAAAAATTTTGTAAATTAGGAATGATTGTATTCCGAGTTTTTCGTATCATTCTTCTGAGTCTAAAATCTAGGAGCGATGTATCTGATTTTTGCACAAATATCGAAAAATTTCGTGTAAATCAAGACCATTGGTTGCGGACTCTTCTGACAATCAAAAACTCTTCTGACAAAATTTTGAAGCTTTTTCTAAATCCCGTTAGTGAGACGTTTCCATACATTCATTCACTAATTACTTGAAGAATAATGTCTTACGTGATTCTTTCGTCAATTTAATCCTTTTGGTTTGGCAGATTTTCGCCTTTTTAAATATTTGGAACCACGCCAGAATCTGCTTACATTTGGATTCTTATTCACGTGATTTTCATATCAAACATCGATTACCTGATTTAAAAGCTATGCTTTGCGTTTCGTATTCATGTGATTTAAAAATCCAATATCACGATTTACATTTACACGTTTTTTAAAATCCAGTATTATGATTCATATTTTGCGATTTAAAAATTCAATATTGTGATTCTTATTCACGAAATTATCGTGATTCATATTCGTGCAATTTTAAAACCCAATATCACGTTAATTTTTTCGTGAAGTTCAAAAAGTTATGTTAAATGTAAAACATGTATAGTATATCAATTGATTTTGATTTTTGTGCATAAAAGTTTCAAGGTTTTTCTCTCTGTGCCTCAATTACCCCTGTTAAATACTGTATATTCAGTTTTCTGGTTGTGGCTACCAACCCTATAAAGTTAGTGGCTTTAGTGAAGAATCGGGGGTCCCTTGGTCTGCGATAATTTTTGTTCAGTTTTGCTGAAATCCCATTTCTGGTTACCATGCTATACTTTGCTTTCAGTGACATCACCTTCGGGTTACCGCAACTTTTGCTTACCTTTATTTGCAAAATCGTCGAAAATAAGAGGTGCCCTCAATTGTAAACTTTTACGAAGTTAGTGTATTCAATATTTTTATGCTATGTAACCTTTTCGAATAAGATTTAACTATAGCTATTCATCTATTTAAATCAAAGATATTTTTCTGAAAGAGAAATGAAAGAATTTGATATAAACTGTGATTCACCATAATTTAACAGTATTATATTTAATTAAGAATATTTGATCTGATTGTAATTATTTTCAGGGTTGTGTCTATATGCTTTGCAGTTCATCAGAAACTGCTGGTAAAGCTTTCAATGATCTCCATGGATGGTGGTTTGATGGTAAGTCTATTAATTTAGATAAAATTCATCCAACCATTATACTCAGGGTTGCCACGGGTGACTAAAATACGACTATTTTTCGCCTGAGGCAACTATGGCAACAAAAAAAGCAACTATTATCAGGAAAAGGAGACTATTGGGTGACATTTCTGTACTCCTAGCGATGTTTTTTTTTTAGTATAAATTTGAGCTTCTAAACACTAATTTTTTTTTCCATAAAAAATAAAACATTTTGAATTGCAAACTAGAGTCAACACTTTTTAATTCATTCAATTTGCCCAGATTCCATTGTAAGTCTATTTCATTTCTTCGCCTTTTCAACGGCTATTGCTACGGAATTCAACAAAATTTTAAAAAAAAACTAATTTTTAATAGAATATTACGATGCTTAACTTTCATATTTTAGTAATCACTTTTCACAATATATATATATGTATATTTGTTAAATCAATTATTGACAAAAGGGAAAAAAATTTTGAAAATTATGTTATTTTAATGAAAAAAGTATTTTTTTGAATGAATAATAGTAATTAAAAGTATTTAATTTTCCACAAATATACAAATTGTTTTGGTATAAAAATTTTGTGTTAGAGTACTAACATTTATATAAAAATCATCATATTTGCCACCAACTTGACTAAATGGATAATTTTTGAATGAATAATAGTAATTAAAAGTATTTAATTTTCCGCAAATATAAAAATTTTTTTGGTATAAAAATTTTGTACTAGAGTACTAACATTTATATAAAAATCGTCGTATTTGCCACCAACTTGACTAAATGGATCATGGTTTATGACAATTAAGTCATTTAATAAAATTTTAGTCATATTTTTGTTCTTATGTAGGCAACTGTTTTTATATTTTTTGGCAACTATTTTCATGCTTTAGGCTACTAAAAGCAACTATTTTGTTAATTTTTTCCTGTGGCAACCCTGCATTGATTTTACTCCTCCTCCCCTCTTGTCAGCAGAAATTAACAAATTACTACCTCCACCCCCATGAGGTCATTATGTAATATTTGAACGGTCCCTAATTTGTGCTTCTTCATAGTGTTTAGTTTCATTTTGCAGTGTTAATTTTGAGTTTCAGGTTCATGTTTTTTTTCTTCCTTCAGGTAAATTAGTGACAGTGAAGTATATTCCTTACAAAAGATACTTGGAACGATTTCCAGAATCAGAGCATTGTACAGCGTCTCTGAAACCTTCCAACAACAAGCGACTTTCCTTATCCACTCCATTCTTTTCCTCAGCATTGGAAAGATCTTGAACTCTTTGTTTATTTTTTTTTCTTTTTTAGCCCCCTCCTTTAGCACTTCTTTGTTATCCTCAACTTTTTATTTCTCCTCCCCCCCCCCAAATTTTGCATAATGTGCGTTGTGTAGAATGCATTGAAAGAATAAAAAAAAATGTATTATATATGTTTGTCTTTCAATAAAAGCTTCTCGTTTAGTTGTAATAAAAATAGTTATTTATTAATATATCAGTGGTAATAATCCAATGCATTTATAGTGTGCATCAATTATTGAAATAAAACCACGCATTTGTTTAGTTGATGAATCATTTTGTGTACTCCATTTTGTCTGAGTCATACCTGCCAAGTCTCTTTTTTTTTTTNGTATAAAGGATGGTATGCTGTTATGATTTTCGTTTTTTATGTTTTGTCACAAAAAAGCATTGTGACGTAACACATTGCTGTATTTGACGAAGAAATTTTTTTTAAAAAAAATTTATGATAAAATATCGGCTGATGGCAAAAATATTTTTCTTGTTCTTCAAGAGATGGTGTTATTGTTAGTACTGCAGTGTGACTACTGAGTGATTGTAGTTTAAGTAATAAAATTTTTTTTTTTTAAAATCTTTAGACTAAGATTTATATTTTACATATTTTTTAAATCGCTAAATGTAAATGCTTATATTATTTACAATTTTGAATTTCTCTTTTTGACTTACATGATTATGCATGATGTATTAAAACTTTACTCATAGCCTAAAAAATGTCGCTAGTAAAATCTCCGTTATTTTATTTCTCCAATGTTGGCAGGTATGCAATAAAATTTTGGAAATTTCTTTTTAAAATAACTTCCAAATAGCAAACTTTTCTATTTAACTAAATTTTCTTTGAGATCTACTTTCCCTATTTCCCAAAATACAACGCTGAAAAAAATATTACCTTGAATAACTTTTGCTCTATTAATCAGAATTTTACGAATTAGGTACCAATCTAAACCAATTATGCACTGAATTTGATATCCTATACGTTTCTATAGTGAGCTGATCGCAAGATACGGATCTCAGTAGATCACCAAAGTCTAGCAGGATCAGTGTCCAATTATTTAGACACTGAGCCTGCTAGTGACCACTGATCAGCCTACAAAGTAACTGGGGGTGGGCATTATCGGCTACCAAGGAAGGAGAGCCACCCCCCCTGTGACAGCATGCATGTCTTCGGATCATCCTCGTGGATGTTTTTAAGATTGTCCCGAATGACTTATTGTGTAGCTCTAGTGTGACATAAATGAAATACTACCAAAGATGGTAGAATTAAAATCTAGGAATTATGTTGGGCAATTGGTATGTTTTTCATTTAACATTTCATTTTAGGTTTACATTTTCATTTAATAAAAAGTAGCAATTTTTTTTAAAAAGCGTTATTGTTTTTTTGAAACTTGTTTAGAAAAAAAGACTAACATAAAATAATTGTGCAAGACAACACAAAAAAAATAAGTGGCGAAAGCGAACAGGAGAGAGAGAGCTTTTGGATAAAATGTGTTTCTTGTATTCTGTTCAAGAATATCATTGACCCAGTTAATTGTTTTGAAATTTCTCTGTAAATCAAGTCACAGTTTATGTATGTATTTGGTTTTGGGCTGCGAGCTTTCCTCCTCCACCGCCAGGCAACATAAATATTAAGTTCTATTGATGTTATATAAAGGAAACATACCACCAAATATATTATTCTTATTACATTTTATTGAAATTTTAAGTTTTAATATTCAACGGTAGTTTTTTATTTTACATGACGAGTATACACGTCATACGGGATTTGGTCTGACGTGTATGCTTATCAAGCATGCTTAACTGATAAATGGTTCAAAGGAATGATTTCAAATTCACTAAATAATTAAAGCAGATGGTAAGTAGGTACTTTATTTACGCTATTGGCGACAGTCTGGGAAACATTCCTGAAGGTATGTGAATTCATCCTGAAGCCATCACAATTTTGATCCTCTGCATAGAGTATGGCTCCCCTGCTTTGGTAGCCCGAAGGCCTGCGTGTGAAGTTGAGCATTTTATGGTAGAACAGTTTAACAAGGACCGATACCGAGCGCTCTCGGTCCCTACGCAGGCTTGTTGTCACCCACCCGCTTACTGACCTTAGCCAGTGATGCTTAACTTCGGTGTTCTACTAAGAACCTTGTATTTATGATCAGTCCGCTGTGGGACATTGAAGTAGATGCAAAAACGTAGAAATTTCACTCTATCTCAGCAATCAAACAGGTTTTGTTGTTTTGAGTGCTCCTTCTTCAGTAGGGATTCCTTAAATTTCGATAGCACTTTTATTTTTTCAACTCTTAAATACTTCGACCCCTGATCCTTTTTTTTTAAATATATTTTTTATTAAGGATAATAAAATTATACATTAAGGATGGGCATTTTATAACCTAATGCAATGGACAGTCATTTAACAAGACCGTGTATAGAGATCCTGACTGATCTTCTAATTTGGAGTTAGCTAAAAAAAATTTGATAAAATTTTTTTTTAAAAAAAACATTTTTATTTCACATATAAGTAAATAGCATGAAACTATATTACAATCACTTTGAAATGACATGTAAAAATGAAAAAATTGTTCAGAGAAAATTTATGACTATGTACACATGAAATTCATTTCAGTTACAGAAAATATTGTAAAAGAAATAGGTAACAGAATAAAATTTAAAAGATAAAAAAAATATATTCTCCAAAATTTGTTAAATAGAGAAAATTGTGTAAAACCAGATAGCTAAAAATCGATAGCTGAACTGATTTTTTTTAAAAATTGATTTTTCTCTAAAGAAAGTCAAATCCCCTGATCTCACCCCCCATGTACCCCACTAAATATATAATGTACAGATGAAAGTTCTCGAATATTTCATTTCTTTTATAGTTTTTCCCAGCAGTGCAAATCGCAGATGGTTTCAATCGCAGAAATCGATTTAAACTTGCAAAATTACAATTCTCAGCATAACAAAATGCAAAATTAATTTTAAATAGCAAGAATTCTATAAGTACTTCTTTGCTATATATAAGTAAGTATGTGATTTTTTAAGCGAATCTACAAATTTCTGCACACAAATTTTAAAATTCTGAACGGAAAAAATCTACCACTCTTTTTTTGTGCAAAATTTAACGGTCAGTTATGGTAATTGAACGGTGTTCTCGGAGCACCGTTATATTTCGAAAGAATTTAGAATCCTGTAGAATTTGATTTGGATACTCAAAAATAATTAATAGTGGTCCTGGACCAGCCATAGATAGAGAATTGTATAAAGCAGTGTTTCCCAAAGTGCGGTACTCGTCCCCCCCAGGGGTACGCGTTCTTATGCGAAATAACTTGCAATATACGAAAATTTCAAAAAATTTTATTTAAAAACAAAGCTAGCCATTTAAAATTACGATTACGTATTTTTTAATTGGCTATTTTTTGCAGAGTTAACAGTTAATTATTAGTGGTGTCAACAGCCAGTTATGATTTTTAACTTTTGTGCAATTTTTTTACAGCAAAAAATACATTTATTTTTTTATTAGTGGTACGTAGCGTTGCGAAAAATTTAGAAAGGGTACACAGGTATAAAGGATGGTATGCTGTTATGATTTTCGTTTTTTATGTTTTGTCACAAAAAAGCATTGTGACGTAACACATTGCATGCAAAAAATTTCCCCACTGGTTNGACTTTTTTTTTTTTTTTTTTTGAGAACACAAGAGTAAAATTAAAATAAAAAAAAGAGGTAGAAAAAATTTGTTCTAGAGGACATTCTCACTAGTTTTTCTTTTGGCGATTTTGAATTCGTTTACTACTCACTGTTTAGCGGTTGGCGTGTAAGTTTCATTTCCTTTAGAAATTACTAAACTATCTTTTCGATGATTTAAAGATTCTTGATGAATTTCAGTCCTAGAAGAGGGCGTTGAACATGATGCATCGCTGCTGTCGTCGGGAATAGGAGGTAGTTCACGTAGTTTTATGGGTTCTAAGTCCACCTCATCGAAAGATGGCGGCACTTCAGAGCGATAAGTGTTCTCCCACGACGGTGGATCCACTGGCTCAAAACGATCGCACAGCGATTTCACAAGTCGCGAACGCTTCTTTTCTTCTAAGTTGACTTGAGCGTAGACAGGCTGACTCTGATCTTCTTCCGGTATAGTGTGGGGTGGAGCAACATCATGTTTGGTCTGGATTTCTTCATAGATGCAAGTATTGGATGAGCTTCCGGATGATTCTTTACTGTCTGATTTTTTCTTGGTGAAGAGGATGGTCGACATAATGTTCCGCTTCTCTTCCGTGCCATCATCCACTGGAATGGTGGCGTAAAAGGCGTCATTGTCGTAAGGCAACGGTGTGTTAGGGGTGAGAGAAGAATTGGTTTCTTTCGATGGCAAAGAATCCACACTGCTTTGCCTCAGAACTTTGCGCCTAAAATGCGTAATTTAGAATTTTTAAGTCACATTGAAATCATGTATTCCAATTAGATAGATAAAATTAAACATTTTTCTATTTCACACTAAAATAAATGGATTTATATACATATGTATAAAGTCGAACCACCTCGTTAACATGAAATCGGTAGGACTGTCATAATTATTTTATGTTAACCGAATTTTGTTTTATCTGATGCATCATGAAAACAATTTATCACATATTATAAATACATGTTACGTACTACATTAATGTATGCAAACAATACTATTATGAACCAAGCAAATTAAAATAAGCTTAAAAGTTTCCACTACTTAATTAAACTATTTTCTTTTTGCTATTTTATTTATCCGACCATCTGCTACTTCTAACAAAGGAAGAAAATAGAAATCCTCAAAATGAATTATTGGGATTTTGTTCACATGCTTATTAAATGTGCTGGGATCTTTTTCCTTTCATGTTAAGCGATAATCAGCTTGAAAATTTCATGTTAAACAAGTAAAATAGAACAATAATAGATTGCTGACTCACGGAACCAAACATGTGTTTCATGTAAAACTATATTTCACGTTAAGCGGTTTCGCGTTAGAAAGGTTCTACTGTATACTACAAAAAAATCGCCAATAGCTGGGATTGAATCGACATTCTAAATCAGATGTCATAACCATTCAACCACGAATGCACATTTTTAAAAAAAATTTTAATATTAAATGAAATGAAACTTAGAGGGGCATATTTTTACCCCATCCTATGTATTTTACTATGCTCATTAATTTAACCTTTGTTTCTTTCCAAGATGAATTACATCGATGTATATACGTTCCTAGTAATACACATAAAGAAGTAATTAATCTTGAAGATGGGTATTACAGGTAACTTTAGAAATAGAATAAAATATTACTTGCTCCAGATATTAAAATATTAGTTACTCGACTACTTTGCGAAGTTCGGAAAGTTATCAGTTTAAAGAATTATTATTTTTTTTTTGAAAAATCTATTCAAATTTTGTGAAGCTTTGAATAGAGTTCTTTTATCGGGGTCCTATTAAAAGGGTTGCCAGGGTAAAATGGGGCCTCAGACCGCAACTACTTAAAGTAATCTATCTCCAGGCAAGTGAAAGGATAATAATGTATGCCGCCAGTGTCTGGTATAGGAACAACACCAAAATAAACGAAAAGCTACAAAGCCTACAAAGAATCCCTCTTCTGACTATTACTAAAGCTTATTCTACTGTTAGCACGGAGGCTATCCAGATACTGGCGGGCGTCGTTCCTATTCAACTTAAGATAATTGAAGACATTTACATTAAAAGAGTCAAATGGGGCTGGAGACTAGAGGATATAAATTACGTATTCCCAACTAACTTTGACCATACAATGAACTTCGATAAACCAGCCCCGGAACACCCTTCAGAATATCGATCCTTGCCTTGGGGATATGATTGCCCAAAAGATCAGGACATGGAGATCTATACGGATGGCTCTAGGATGGAGACAGAACAACCTAATCACTATAAGACAGCCTTTGCAATGATTATTAAACAGAATGGTATCACAATACATAAGGTCTCCACCAGAGTCACCGACAACACAAATATCTTTTTAGCAGAACTCATGGCAATTAAAACAGCTCTAGCATGGATCAATCAACAACATATCGAATATGTAACAATCTATACTGATTCCATGTCCTCCTTACAGGCCCTGGCTGATCCAGAACCCAGTTCAAAAATTATTGAAGAAACAAAAAAACTATGGCATAACAACATTAAATTGAACTGGGTCAAAGCACATGTGGGGATCCAGGGCAATGAGGAGGCAGATGAGGCAGCCAAAAACGCCATTTGTTCTAGCACAATAGATCTCCAGGTACTGAGGACCCCCAAACAGGTTAAAACAAACATTAGAAATATCTTAACTTCAATATGGAAGAATCAATGGGAGAGCAGTAATAAGGGCCGTCAAACATTTAAATTTATTAAGACCCCGTCAGTTAAAAGATTACAAACAAATTTTTATCTGAACCAATATTTGACGGGGCACGGAGTGTTCGGGGTCTACCAAAAAAAGTTTTTTAATAAAAGTGATACCTGCAATAACTGTGAAGATATTCAAACAATTGAGCACCTACTCTTTCACTGCGACAGATTCCGGACACTCAGACAAAACCACTTCCTCGGGAGAAATGAACAACAAATTTTCGCGAGTAATACTTGCAAATCCATCATTAAAGAGATCATTAAAATTACTCTCGAGGAGACGCTGGCCCAATTTAACAACTAATTTGCTCTCCCCAATAAATATAGTTAAATACTCCTTGGACCACTTCATTTAATAATTTTACTCGTAGTATTTTAAATTTCAAACTTTTAATATATCATATTTTAAATTTTAGACCTTGTATTTACATTTTTTATGTTTTAGACATCGCTTTCCATTTTACTCAACACTTTTTAATTGTTGCTCGGCTGGTTGTTTTACACTGGTCTGTTATTGATTTTAACTGTTAATTATTCAACTTTTAAATGATTTTCTTTTTAATTTTTATACACAATTAGCTTTTATCCTTGATTTTGCATACCACCATTTTTTAGTATTTTTAAAAACACGCTTTTAAATTTTGATTTGCAAATATTTTAAAATTTTAAGGATTTTATAACATTTACGTCCCTTTTGGACGAATATATTTTAATGATTTTAATCTTAGGGTATATTTTATCTATACTTGTTATTTTATCAATTTTGTCTTTTTACATCTTTATCCTATCTTTTATCCACAAATAATTTTATATCTTGAAATTTTATGCATGTAAACGGCTTTGTACAGTCGATTTTTATTTTTAAACATAATGTTTTAAAATTGTAACGTTTTTAAAATTTTCATTTTACTGATTTATACAAATTTTATGTCCTTTAGGACAGGCTAGTACTAATGTGTACTTTTATCTTGTGTGTAATTCTTAACTTTTTCCTTTTACCCAGCAACTAGCTCTAGCTCTCAATTCGATCCTATTGATACCTTTATTCAACTGTAGTATCTAGTAAGTAAAAATGAGTTCGTGATGTTACAAACATTTCGTTAGTATAAGGGTCTGTTGGCCTGAACGGTACAACACCAAGCACGATCAATATTGTTTTAATTTGTTTTTATGTTAAATTGTTGAACGATATGTTAAATTATAAGGGTCCGTTGACCTTCTTTCTCATGTGTTTCAATGTTTTCGAGGCTTGTTGCCATCGCTGTTACTGTAAAATTTTTAACATTTTATTTCTATATAATTGCTGTCAAATTAAAAATTGTTGTTCCACTGTATTCGGCGAATGGGCCTATAGGCCTAGGCCGCTGTAAAATTTTCCTTATCGGGGTCCTATTTTTGTGAAATTGAGTAAAATTAGACCCTGTTATTTAAATTTGTGACAAATAGTTTTCTTTTTTATAAATGAATTGATTTTTCCTTACTTACGATACATGTTGAACAATTTACAGAATGGCTTGGTGGGACATCATTCGATTATATCGTCACAACGTGTACTATCGTATTATTATCGCGGCAATTGCGATTGTATTAAAATTAAGTGAAGAAAAAGCATTTTTTATTAATTTCTCTATATTGTGCGATCACGATCGTGTTGATAAAACGAAAGCAGCTGATATAGTTTAAAATAAAATTTAAGAAGTTATCAAAAATTCTTTTTTTTTTTCTGTCTATTTTTTTACAATAAAATTATTATGAGTAAAATATTTTTTTTAAAATAAAAATCTTGTGTTGTGCACTGAAAACACTTGATTCTGCACTTTAACGGAGTAAATCTTCGAACTATCTAAGTAATATGCCTACGATGGCTTTTGATAGTTACTTTCACGCAAGCCACAATAAAAAAAAATTTTAATATTCATTAATATATATTTTATTAATATTTATAGCTAAGTAATTTTACGTAGCGCATTGGTGATTTCCCTTAGCAACTTGAAAGGGTACCGACATAAAAATATCTTCAATATATTTTAATTACACGAAAATTTATTTAAAAGTATTCAATCCATTCGATTAAATTAAGAAATTTCAATGCAAGTTTTTAGTAGGTAGTTAATTAACTCAAACAATTTGATCAGACACGCAATTATCAATGCATTAAACACGTATAAATGGTAATAACAAAGGTAAAGGCTATAAAAATTTAAAAAATAAAGCCTTACCTTTTTATCAAAAGAATCAAAATAACTAGCAATAAAAGCAAAAACACAAAAATGGCCATTCCAATAACAATACCTGGTAAGAGGAAAGAAAAAAATTATTACATTTTGAGTAATAAATTTACTTGAGTATTTTTTTTTTAAATAAAATAGTTGGACAAAAAACAAAAAGGAATTTAAAAAAAAAATTAATCAAAAACTATTAACGTAATATAGTTAAACCTCTCGGGAACGACCACTCTCCGTTCCACAGTAAAATGGTCGTTGATGGAGGTTGGTCGTTCTTAGAGGTTTACCTCCATTGCAGGGCTTTTCTTTCCTTTCCTCCAAGCCCTGAGCATGTACCTAGGTTATGAAAACCCTTAATCATATAGCCCAGGACTTGGCCGCTCCATTGCAGGCCTCGAAAAACTGCCCGTCCGCCCGTCCTCGGCGGTCAAAAATTCTCCGCGGACAACAAATTTCTCGAATCCGACGTCCGCGCGGACGGCCATTTTCCTGTTAATGTTCGTGATACATTTTCAATCTTGGTTATTACAATTGATGATTTCTACATCTGGGAGTACTGCAGCTGTTGAAAGGGACTTTTTAGCAATGAACTTACAAAAAAATACATTACGTTCTGAACTTAAACAAGCGTAAGCGCAATTATGAACATCTTCCTAAATGGAAAACCCCTCTCAGATTTCTGTGCAGAAACCTCTGTAAATCTTTGGCTTGATTGTGGAACTGGCAAACGTCATATTTGATTCATTTAAAAGGCGCATCCCCCTCGGATAAACTGACATTCCAGATANGAGAGGATTTTGAGAACGGTGAGAAATAATTATAGCAGGGTATAACCAATAATTATGATTCGTGAAATAGGTTATTAAGTTTTATGAGTTATAATTGTATTAAATTTTAGTTGAACATGAATAGAGATTTGAGATATTAAGAATATCGGGCAAAAACAGAAAAAAAGAAATAAATACAGTGAAACCTCTATGGAGCGACCACTCTCCGCTCCACAGTAAAACGGTCGCTGATAGAGATGGATCGCTCTTAGAGATTACCTACATAGACTTCAAAATTGTTATCGAAAATACATGATTTTTCACAAACGTTTTCAATTTTACTCAGTGTCATTTTCTAGGTGCGGAAAAGACACTTCTGTTGGCGTCATGAAAAGTCGTAGCGATGAACAAAATTTAGCGTCTGTAAGAATGATCCCAACTGATATAATTATGCGGGGGAAAAAATTACCAATTATGAACGATAAAGCTATTTTAAATAAATAATAATGTTGTTTATTAAAGTTTGCATTTGCTTTTAAAGCGTAAAAATGAGTTAGCTTTAAAATATGAGAAAATGTTTGTTTGTTGGAGATGCTTGTTTTTTTCTAAAATTACTTTTTTTTCACCCAGTATGGATAACGGGAAAATTGGCAGTGTCCTGGTATCGAGTCTTGAGACTATAAACCGGGTCCCAGCACCCGCTAGCGGTTAATAAAGCTCTTTTACCGGATCCAGGTAAGGAAAATCTGTCCGAGTAGGCTGGGTACTGGATAATTGTCGGATTCCCGGTACATCGTTTGTATATATATATAAAAAAAAAAGTATTTGCATTAAAGGAACGCTAATACAAAAACGAAAATTTCTATCGAAATCTGACGAATAACAAATGAGAAAGAAAGGATAAATATCAAAACCTGTTTGATTACCTGATATAACTAGTTGTGCCTTTTTGATAGCAGTTAGATGCTAAAAGGTACCGATATAGAAATATTCCAAGTCATTTTATAAAATGATACGATTACTAATAATTTTATAGTTATCTTAACCATTATACGAATGTATCATCTTTATCACTGTAATAATATTTCAAAAAATGAATAATAAAAGCAAATCTGTATCTTTATGAGCGAAAAAAAAAGAGATAATGAGAAGAGACAATATATGAAGTTCATTAATATATAGAATAAATATCGTCACCCGTTGGCACGTCGTTTTGTTCTTCATTCACCAATCCAAGCTTCGATAAACCACCTAAGAAAATAAGAAGAAATTTTTTTTTAACTAGTTATTTGCAATATTTCTATAAATTATGCAGAAATGTTCGTAAAATTATGCAGATAGGTCGCGAATGAACCAGAAAATAACTAAAACAGTGTAGTGTATCTACCACTAAAAAATACAATCCCAATTCACTAGTATATAAGACATGTTAACTCTAATCTATGTTGAGGTATATTTTCATAGATGAAGGTTGACATAGTCGATAACTACTCACTATCCCCACAAACAGAAAAAAAAGCACCAATTTTTTTAAAAAAAAGGTAGGGTTAAGGGAACTGACCTTGTATCAGAAAGGTTCTGGGTTCGAATCCCGGATAAGGCATGGATGTTCTTTCCCTCTCTGTACTATATGTCCTTAGTGTGGGAGCAACGTTGACCCACCTAATAGGGTACCCCTGAAAGAGTGGCCAACAAATCTGCCCTTCAGATGACGAAAGGTTATTCTCCAGGTGGGCATTGGGAAAAAAAAATTCCATCTTTGTTTTAATTATAAGTTTTAAATTATTACTGTAAAGATTTTCTTTAAGTTACTTTATATCCACGTACAGTGCGCAAAATAAAAAAATGAACCACCCTGAATATTTTTTGCTCTAGTGATCGGATCTTCACGTTCTAAGACTCACTCTTAATTCAAGGGGTGACCTCAGATATGCTAATTTATTAGTGTAGACAATATTTTAAGTTACGAAATCAGACACAAAAACGTACTTTCGCTGATTTAAGAAAAAAAATTGACGAATTCAAGTTTCTGAGCAATCTGGGAAATATGGTCCTCATAGTTTTATGAGGACAGCAGTCCAAAGTTAGAACCTCTTAATATTGATATCACTTTTTGCGTATTTCGCCATAGCTCGAGAACTTTTTAAGGGAATTGAAAAATTTCTGCACACGCTTATAAAATTCGTTTATCCAAAGATAATTAATTCTATGCAAAAAATTAATTTTAGTATATGTTTATTATTTTTTATTGTTTTATTTAATAATAGTGAGAAAAAGTTGGAATTGTAAAGGTATATAATTTTTTACATAATTTCAAAGTATGCAATTTCACATGGCAAAATATATATATAGTATGTATATAAAAACAAAAACAAAAGCGAGGAAAACGAAGAAAATTAATAAGTTTCATTTGCTGTGCATAAGCTGCAAGTATATAGAAATCATAAAATAAGTTAAAAATATAGAGAAAATATGGAAAATAATAAAGATTAATAAAAAGCGAAAGAAAATTATTAAAACGAAATATTTTTAATAAATATTTCGTTAAAATAAATTATTTAAAAAAAATATGTTAAAAAGACGGAAAACAAAATAATGAAAAGATGTATTTCTTCATCTGCTCACACGATTATATCAGCACTCCTTTTTGTGTAATCGTGTGAGCTGATGAAGATAAAAAGTACTAATTGTAGTCAATAGTAGTTAGTAGTAATAGTGATAATAAATAGTTCTAGGTTCTAAATTTTTTAAAAATAAAATTAGTATTTTTCAACCTGTTTAAAAAGAAAAAGAAGAGTTATTTCGTAAACTAACTTTGGTCATCACATTCTATTTGCGGTAAAGACCACGTTCCATCTTCTCGACAGGTAATGGTGTCCTCCAAGTCTCTACATTTCAGAATCGCTACGCTGCCATAATGTGTGCTTTCATTTAATAGAATGTACTGCTCTGACTCACTACTCACGGAAGGAACTCCGCAGTCTATGGCTAAAATAAAATGCAACCGATAAAGAAAACAACAATTTTAATTCATTTTGTAAGTTTTCAAAATAGAGTTTCAAATCAGTCACTTTTTTCTAGTTTGAATTTTGTGAGAGGCAATTGTAAAATAATGCAGAAGTAATGTGCAGAGCTCAAAGAAAGGACCACCCTAAATAATTTTTGATTTAATGATCGCGGACCTTCACGTTCTAGGACTCATTCTTAATGGCTCGAGAGGGTGACCTCCAATAATTAGTGCAGACGATATTTTAAGTTACACAATCAGGCACAAAAACGTGCTTTCTCTGAATAAACATAACTTTTTTTCATTGGGTTTGGATTTTTGACCAATATAGGGGGTAGCCACGGTCTGGGAAATATAACCCCATTTAGTTGGTTAGGAATTTCTTTAGAGCTTGCTGCTAGGGATATGGGACTAATCATCAATACCGATAAGACCAAATACATGCCTGTACTTGCTAAATTAAATTTTACTGAATCCTATCTGGAGATTGGTTCCCACAGGTTTCAGACTGTTCAGAATTTTACTTACCTTGGTTCAATAGTTACTGCCGACAATAACATAGACAATGAGATTCGGAGTCGTCTAATTTGTTCAAATAAAGCTTTTTATGGTTAAAAACGTTTTTTCAAATCCTCTCTTTTATCAAAAAATACAAAACTTTTACTCTATAAAACATTAATTAGGCCAATACTTACCTATGGCTCTGAGACCTGGAACCTGGTGAAATAAAATTGCCATTTTTGAGAGAAAAGTTTTGAGGGCCATCCTTGGTGGGATAAAAATAAATAATTCCTGGAGAAGACGATATAATACTGAACTGCATAAAATCTACAGAGAGCCAGATATTGTGAAATTCATTAAAATACATCGAATGAACTGGGCAGCTCACATTTTCAGAAGGAATGATGACTCAAATTTGAAGAAAATCCGATTACACAAACCCCTAACGAACAGGAAAAGAGGTAGACCCAGGCTGAGATGGCTGGATTTAGTTGAGACTGATTTCCTTACTCTAAAGGAGAAAAACTGGCGAACAAGTGTCAAAAGTAGAGAGGAGTGGATTCGAATTCAAAGGTAGGCACTGGCCCACCCTGGGCTGTCTAGCCAGATATGATGATGAGTTGGTTAGGAAAGCGTTGGTATTTTAAAGAATGGTTGTTTCGAAAAAAAACAAACTATTTTATACTTTTTTCTCAGTTGGTTCAAAACAGTTATTTAATTTAGTAACAGATGGAGCTACTAATCGAAAAATTATAAGACAATGTTTTGAGTTGCATGCTTAACATGAAACTGAAATGTTAATAAGGACGTCTGTAAAAGTGGCTTTTAGATTTTTTCTCGTCGCTGCTGCAAATAATCATTGGAAACACTATTTTATAGTTTTTCTCAATTAAACTGCTGCAAGCTTTGAAAAAAATTTGAAGCTTAGCTAGTAAAATACCTCGTTAACTAACTAGAAAGTAACAAACTGAGCGATTCTATTCTCTTTGATTGGTCAAAACTGCGAGTCCTTTTTTGGACAGCCGGCATGGATGGTTGACCGTGCAAAACTAAGCGCAGATGGCGCTAGGGGTTAAATTTCGTCGTAAGAGTTTCGGGTTACTACTTCCGACTGATTTTTACGTCTGAACTTGAAAAAAAACGCACCATCCGATATTATTATGCTTGTAGTGTTTTCAATATAACACGTTCTTCCAATCTAATTTTCAACGAAACAAACAACAAATGAATTCTAAAGACTCTACAAGCTTGCCATGAGGCTACTCATAAAATAATAAACGATGCTATTTTACACAGATATAGCCAAATAAGGGATAACACTCAAAACATGGTTAACCTTACACTTTATTTATGCTGTGATATTAATTTCGTTAAATTTGTTATATACAACGAACCTATAGGTTTACGACCTGCTAGAATTTATAAATTACATAATACCCTTATAAATTCTAAAATTACGCTTACATTTAAACACAAATCACAGTAATGAAACTTCCTGGAATATTAAACCTCCTCACACATCGCCTCGTAAGCATAACATAAGCGGAGTTATACACCGGAAGTTTTCTAAATTTCTTCCGGTTTTAGGAAGCTTGTTATTGTTTACTTTCAGTCAACCATCCACTCGAATTTGAAAATTATATAGTTTATCTAAAGTAAAAACCAGCCATTCGTCTGGACTCGTGGCGGTGACTATGGTAACGAGGTACGTATAACTATTTCAAGCAGGGGTATGGGGTCATGTCTTATGACAGGGTTTCGCTCTAGCAGGCAAGAGAAAGGGAATCTTTTTCTTCCGTCTATTGTATTAACCCTAAAGTGAAGTGAAGCTACCCTCCCTGAAATGCGCTATTCTTGTTTCCATAGCAGCAGACGATCTCAGACTTTGTGGCGTAGGGAGTTCTTACCATAGACAAACTATACTCAATAAACCGAGGAATGATTTAGTCTTACGCAGGCAAAGTAGTTGTCCTTCACTCCATCGTCCATCTTCAGTGCACACCAGCGGACTACCAGATAATCTGTAACCATAATTACATGTAGCATTGGCAATGGTTCCCAATGTAAGAGAATTCGTCTTTCGGCCCATGTACAAAATACGGCCATGTTCGATAGCTTCTAATGGATGGCAGATTATTTCTGAAATAAAAAACGACTCCTATGAGTAAAAACGAAGTAATTCTGGAATCCGTGATCGTACAATAACTCCTAGAAAAGAGGAGGCCTCAGCACGGATTACCATTAATAAGAAATTTGACCCTTTAGTAGTCCAAACGTAATGACATCTTTCGTATTTACCACTGCGCAGCATGGTAGCCCAAACGTAGTGACATCTTTCTAATTTTTCATCCACTGCGCAGTTTATGTTCGTTACGTCGGACTACTAAATTGATCCGTGCTGAGGCCTTCTGTCTTCTGGAAGGTGTTGGATCATAACATTAAATTTCTAGGCTTTAAAATGATAATATGTTATCCGATTGTTTCTAATGGATGACACGTTATCTCTGAAATTAAAAACGACTCTTTAGGAAAAAATGAAGTAATTCTGGACTCATATTGATTTTAAAGCGTGATTCGTTAACGATAAACAAAGAAATAAATTAACACTTCTCAAAAGTTTGGAATAATAACGTTAACAGCAAAGCAGCAGCTGTTGAAGAAAAAATTTTTTTTTTAAAACAATTTAATATCTAAAATATGATTATGATTTATTTTCTAGAAAATTTATAAAAGAAACATAAAAAAAAGAAATATGTTGAATGGTTTTAGGAAGCTTNACTTAAGATATTCTTAAGATTTTTTTTAAAGAAATTCTTAAGATTCGTTCTAGTTGGGAGGCCACTAAAGCAAGGGGATGAGATTGTTCTGGTTCTCCAGTGGCGCCATTTATGGCCAAGAATTCGACTTCTGCCACATGCATACGTCACATCCGCTTATAGGACGGACACATTCATACATCCATTTATTCATCCACAGATCAAAATTTTGACCTGAACCAGCTGGTTCAGGTCAAAAGAGAACGATCAATCTCCAATTCAGTATCCCCAGACGTATAATTTGTTATGGGAATATGGAGGACCTTGTGACCCGATAGATTTAACTTGCACTAGTCGCCATTCACTACACGGGGAATCTTCGCCCGGCTGGATTCGAACACCCGTTCTCACGAACGTGAGTCCAACGCCCTGCCAACCAGGCTATCCTGGCCCCAAAGCAGCAGCTAATTTTATAATATATAAAGCCCTGACAGCAGCTAATTTTGAATTCAATAGATATTTACGTCATATGCACTAAATAATTGTTACTTATGTAATATAATTTCTTATTTAAATATAATTAAGACAAATTTAATGCATTGAATTTGAGGTTTTCAGATTATCTTAAACAATAAGTTTTGAGGAAAATCTATCCGTGTTGCGTACATTATATAACTTGGACAATCGTATATTTCACGCGTAAGAAAATACTGTTTTGTTGAAACAATATTCCATTAAAAACATAAAAAAACGTATAAATACTTGAATTATTGTAAGGAGGGATAAATAGGCTTAAGATACTTATTTAAAAAAATATTTTTATATAATAACAACTTGCTTCAAAACACAATTTCCTTTTCCTATTAACCTTTCACTCATCAAAATATAACTTTTCATTTTTATTATAATTTCTTTTTATTATTATTATTATAATTTATTATAATTATAACTTATAATTATATAAATATTATCGATTGCAGACATTTCTTAAGGACACTATTTAAATAACCGTTCTACTTAAAATTTATACTCTAATTTGTATTGGTAAACATCTAAAAAGGAATGGAAAAAAATTTTTTTTCTGAATGCCTCCAATTGACCGTTTTGGTTGAAAAAAAAAATTTTTTTTAAAGATGTTTGCAAATTTTTTTAAAAATAATTTTATTAGTTCTTGTAAGTAGGCAGAATTATGAATTTAATTAAAATGCTTCTTTTATTTTTTTTTTACAGGGAATTAAATTTAAACTTAACTGTTATCAATGCTTAAAGTTTAGATCTGTGTTATGTTATCCCTTCTATTGAAAACTATCAAAGGAAAAAAAAATTCTGAAAGGAGCTGTTCAGGTTTTCTGATACTTAAATGAAATTTAAATTTTATCTTGATATGAATAAGATTATCTAACCTATGCAGGTAGGAGGGTAGAGTGACCACTGTCCATTTGACATGCAGACCCTGGTGGTGGGCCCCACCAGTCGATATCCATAGATGCAACGATAGAGAACTGCGCCCGTCTCGGTTTTTACAGAGTAGGAATGAGCTGGACGTTCAGCTTCACCACATTCATAGATACCTGAAAAACTTATGGTTTAGTTCTTCTCGTACAGTACCAGGCCAAATTATTAGACCTCACAATAAAATTCTAAGTGAAACCTTAATTATCAGGTGAATTGCTTTGACGCGACTCAAACCGGTTTGCACTTGTTTACCTCAATGTGTTAAATGAGACGATATAATAATATAAATTCGATGATTGGACAAATTAGACAATATATTATATAAATATAGAATATTTATTATATCAGGTATTACATTTAATATATTATAATAATTAGACCAAATTATTAGACCCACTGCAGTATTTTAATAATGACGTGTTTTTCACGAGTTTATAGGCAATACTTTTATGTGTAAGCATGTATGTAATAGGTTCATATACAGGAGATTTTTCAGATACTTCCTAACTGCATTTATTTTTAACGTATTGCATTACAATGTTAACCAATTGATACAGGAACGTAAACAAGTGCAAACCGGTTTCAATCACGCAAAAACAATAAAGCTGTATAGAGTATCACCTGATAATTAAGATTTTACATAGAATCTTATAATGCGTCTAATAATTTGGCCACAGACTGTATAGTTACAAATAATGCGTCTGAAATCAAATTCAATCAGGGCTCATTAAAGGGAAATTGACCTCCTGTCGTTTTTGCACAGATATTTATGTAATAATTTTATGTATTTTTTTTTTTACAATTTATTTTCTCTCGTAACGTAAAATACCATATTTTTCAATAAAAAAATTAAAAGGCTTTTTTTTATCATTAAAAAATTAACCTTTAGTTAAAATAGTTTAAGATTTTTCTTTTATGGCACAAAAACAAAGTTTCTTTATCTCAATTTTTATCTCACAGCTCAAACGATATTCCACTACGCTAGTGTCCTTAACTTATGGATTTTTACGCTATCGCTTATTTTCACTTGCTTAAGTTTGATATTTTCTCACGCATTTTAACAGAATTGACAAAGTCTCACTCCAATATTATTATAATATTGTAACCGTCGTTGAACAGCCGACCCAATTTTGGGTTTACGACTACAACAATGTTCAACTCCGTAGCCTTGAAATTTTGAACCCAATCCAGAAGATAAGGGAACTTCTGGATCGAGTATTGAGAGAAATTCGCCTTCGTGGTGGACTTTTTTGATGGAACTAACCCGTATTTGCTTTACTTAGAGAGGAAGACCACGGAAACCTCCCACGGTTGGGCTGACGACAAGGGGACTCAAACCCGTGATCCGTCTAACACTGAGGATATTTCATGTCAGCACTGAGGTCGGTGCAAGCCGGATGCGGAATTCGTATCGACCAGTCATTGCTGGGATTCGGACCCGGTTTACTTCATTGGAAAGCGAACGCTCTATCCCCTGAGCCATCGCGTCTCATGCGCATGCGCAATCACTTATAATCTTATGTACAGGAGTGTATAGAATCAAATGTAAATATGCAAAATATCCCTATTATCAAATGCATTAGGATTTTACTTTATACACTCATGGACAAAAAAATTAGCGCACCAAGCAGGAGTCGTCAAAATGAAACGAAATTTTACATACGTAATGACTACTTTGATATAAGTAAATGATTAGAAAATCAAAGAAAAACAATAATCTTTTATTTTCTAATCATTTACTTATATCAAAGTAGTCATTACGTATGTGAGATTTTGTTTCATTTTGTCGACTCCTGCTTGGTGCGCTAATTTTTTTGTTCATGAGTGTACTTTCAAACTGGTGCATGTCTCTTACTAAACGTACTTCGGGTACTGGTGATATTAAGAATAACTTCGTGTACTGGTTATATTAAGGATACTTTGTCCTTTGTGTGGTATTTTATACCTTCGGATATTGTATTTGTAAAGTACTGGCTTTTCTTTAAGATACTTGTAAAGTAATTGGGCTTTACCTTAAGATGCTTTCAAAATACACCACTTACGAATATTTATACTTTAGGATACTAGTAAAGTATCCCACAAATAGGCTTTGCTTTATAATAAATATTTGTAACTTAATCCATACCTTTGTTGACGTACACTTGGATTTCGCATAGGCTGAAATAGTCTACACGGTGTCTGTTGTCTTCAACATGGATGTACCGTCCTTCAACGTCCCCTCCAGCACAAGTAAGCTTTAATGTAGTCGCCGCTAGGAACAAAAAATATGGTACTAGTTAGAAATAGTATTTTTTATAAATAACATCTTTTATTAAACAATTTTGAAAACATGAAAAACTAATTTTTAATAATTAAGAAATACTTATGTGATTAGTGATTAGTTCTAAAAATTAGTTACTGAGCCTTTTTTTTCCCTCCAGATTTCTTAAAAAACTGTCGATTATGAGCAAGTAAATTTTATTGATTCAAGAGGGACAATATCTATTTAACTAATGTACCAAATGAACAATGCAAAAAAAAAAAAAGACCATTAACTTGTCATCCAGTGATCGGATTATCATCTACACTAATGTGTAAGTTTAGTGGTTCGAAGATAGAGATTGACTTTAAATATGTTAATTAATTTGTTCAGACGATATTTTCATATTTAGTTTAGACTATATATAAGAATTATTAAGTTTTATTAAGTGCACATAAACTGCAAGTAATTAGCACTCACATTATGAGACAAAAATACAAATGAAATAAGAAAAATAAAATAAAGGAAAAACAATTTTTAAAAATAAGAAAAAAATTACTATAAAAAATAATTAAAATTGAAAAAAAAACAGAAATTAAAAAATTAAAAAGATATAACCTTGTTGTCAACTCACACGATTATATCTTAAAAATAGTACTTTCTAATATTGTATTAATATGACCAAAGCTAAATATATTTCAATACAATTGTGAGAAGAGCACTAAGAAACAAAAAGAAGAAGAAACTTATTCGAAAAATAAAACAAGCAAAAAACACAAAAATTCAAGAAAAATACAAAATAAAACACAAATAAGAACATATAAAACAGGAGAAAGAGTAACTAAGTTGCCAGATTACAAAATATGAAATTGAAGTGTAAATATAGGTGAGGGAGATATTTTTAGATTAGCAGAACTAGATTTGCGGAAGGTAATTATATATTATAATGAATAATTGAAAGTGTAAATTAATAAAAAGGTCGAATTTTAAATATAACATTTAAATTTCCGTGGTTTTTATAAAAATTATTAACATTTGCCGAGTTTATTATCAACAAGTTTATTTACAAAACTCACAGAACATTATTTAATATTTAGTCTTGTTGTGTAGAACGTTAGATACGACAGTAAAGTTAACGATTTACATATGTTGCTGTCGTAGGCCATTTAAGGCATTGGGGGTGCGATTGTTCTAAGCGATTTACATATAGAATTCTAATGTTAATTAATCGTTCTACAGAACTTACCGAATTTTCCATTGAAAGAAGCGCATTTATGGTAAGATGCCGTTGTTGAATCTCGCACACTGATTGCATAAATAGTCATCTGAGCTGCATCTGAGAAAGACATTCAAAAGACTAGCATTTTAATTATACATAAACTGATATTAAACTAGACAACAGTCCCATTTAATAATATGAACTGGCATTAAAATATTAAGAATATAGATGGAAGGGTTCAATTTTAAATAGTCTTGAGACAATGTATACAGCAATGGTTCCCAGTACTTAAAGCAGACGATTTTTTTATGCAGACAATTTAATTGATTAATTTAGAGAAAACGATTTTATATTAATTTGTATATCAGAAAACAACTTTTATATTTATTAAATTGCAGACGATTTTTTTAATGAATTGGTGTTGCAATTTTTACTCTATCTTTTGTTCTTGATAGTGAAACATTATGTTAAAAAGAATCTGAACTTCTTTAAGTTAAAAATACTTAGAACGCCTTTAAAGAGTTATAGTGATTTTCCGTGTGAATAGTATGAAAGAGAATTGTATTGGTTGTGTATCCGTATAAAAGAGAATTGATTTTTTAACGAATTGGTGCTGTAATTTTTACTCTATCTTTTGTTCTTGAAAGAGAAACATAACGTTAAAAAGACTCTGAACTCTTTTTAGTTAAAAGATTCTGAACGCCTTTAACAGACTGAACCGGGTACGTAAAATTTAAAAATGTGCTATCTCTTAGCATAAATTCCAATTTTTTAAAAAAGCTAATATTTTATCTTCTAATTTTTAAAAAAAACAAGATTTTATAATAAAGAAGTGAGAAATCGTAATTATTTTCATTTAAAAAAATTGTTTTGTTCTTTCGTTGTTGTAGTTTGAATTATTTAATTTTCTTAAAATTAATATAACAATTCCAATGATTGAAAGTAATGAAATAATAACAATGGCACATTACACTTAACCAGTGGAAACCGCTTTAAATTTTTTCAACTTTTGAAATGTAAATAATTGTTTGGCCTGCCGACTTCCTGAACAGTTCACGTTCACATCACAATTTTCTATTTTTAATAATTCTTTTTTTCATATTTCATTATTTTATTCGATGTAAATTATATTATTCGACTAATTAAAACATTTTGAATACTTTTAGTGAATTTGGGTTGTCTATTTTTTAAAATTGCATCAATCAGATTCTCAATTGGGTACTTGCACTTCAAGAAGAAGACCTCCCATACCCAACACATGTGACCTATGACGTCAGCTAATCTTTATCCGCAAAATGGTGTAATAAAGTTGAGCTAAGTTTATTTGCATAAGTTAGAATGTTAATTAGCGATAATTTAAATAAATACAGAGCCGTTTCGCACATAGAATTAGTAGAAATATAATTCGTTTTCGTCTACTTCTTTTACTTAACTTAGATTTATAATGTGTTTACGTATCTTATTGTAACCTTGATATATGTTTGTTTTGTATGCCTGGCAACTTCGAAGCATAATTAGTTTATGTTCCACATGGCTTCGTGTCTGTCTTTGTGCTAAGTCTCTGTGTAAATATATAGTGAAAGAATCTTTGTGAAAGAATTTAGAATGTGTACTTAAGAGAATTGATACTTGACGGGCTTAGCTTACTCGGAATAGAATGTAAAGAACTGTTGATAACGTTAACTGATACTATAACGTTTCAACAACCAATCAATATCGAGATACTACACTACGTCACTTGCAGGCATCCCATTGGATACCTGTAACTGACGTCATTGTAAGTAAATTTTGTAATACGTCGATTTAGAAGCCAATAAGGTTCGATACACACACGTGACGTCTCCTCCGGTATTCAATTAAATATGATTTAAATTACATGGTTAGGCATAATCGCTTCTCTTTTTCTCGAGTTGAAAGTACCCAATTTCGAAAAAGTTACCGTAAAAAATACAGTTGGCAAAGTGCTAAAAACTATTTTCCGTTATAAATAAAAGTTTAGGTAACTTAACCTATATTGCCAAAGTTTGTTTTTAAGCATTTTTACTAACTCTAATTCGTTTGTTTATAAAAGTGAGAGAGGATGACGGAATACCTCTCCTTAACGATTATAACTCATTAAACTTTTTAAACTTTTACAGTTTCTCACCGCTTTAACGATTCAACGCACGCTCCATTGGCTCTGTGTCACATGGAACTCACATATAACCATTTTAACTTCAATTGCCTTATTCAATCAGAATAATATCTACTAACCTTGTGAGTAGATCCCTTGTGGTACAGTGAGAGCGATAGCTTTGACCCTGTAATTTATTTTCATGTCCAGCCGAATCCATCGTGGTCTCAGTTTGTCTGTATAGGCACATGTGTTGGGATCACCATCGATTGATTTGTTGGCAGGATATAAACTGAGAGTTTGTCGAGAAGATGCTTGTTGATCCACTGTGGACAAGCTGCGATCTATTAAAGAAAAAGAAGCAATAATGTATGGGATGCTTAGTTCTGTGTTTAAGAGGCTTTGTAAAGTAAAAAGAATGTAAAGGAGAAGCACAGTAACTAAAACACTAAAACATCGAGCTTCAAATAATTGTTACAGTTGTTTCGATTGAAACAGTCAACACAGTTAAAGAAAATTTTTTATCAAAAGCTTCACTCAAGGTAGTTGAATTTTCCCACAAATGCTTAAGAAAAAAACATTGTATCAGAAAAAAAATTTAAACACTTCAAATGCTCTCTTTAAAATTATTATTCCTAATATTTTTCATATAGTTTTATATATTCATATATTTTTATATATCCCTATATTTTTATATATTATGTATTCATACATTTTTATACATCCATATATTTTTCATATATTATGTTATTATTTACCATATATTATTATTTTCATACACTTTTTATTTAACTTATTCCGTTAAAACTTTAAATAAGGTATTTTCTCATAAGAAAAAGTTTTTTTTGCGTGCATTCAAAAGCCGGATTATTCTAAGTACCCAACATTCGGATACTCTGCAGTTGACAAATGTAGTAGTACCTACAAAGCATCTCCATAAGATGTTGAATTTAGTTTATCATGGTTGGGATGAACCAGATGTTTCTGAGAATACGCGTGTGCACTTAACGCCCACTCTATAATTTAATTGTTAGAAGAATTTGTTAAACAATTCTATTTAATTTAGCTGTAGATAATACGCAATGTAAAAATCAATTTTTACTACCAGTAACCAGGTTATCTGACTTTACATTATTAAATATTAAAAATAATAATGAAACGTATTTCCTGTGCACATATTTGCAAATAACAAATTTCTTGAACTATGACATTTAAGCATGCCAACCGGACTGTATAAGGGTCAGGAAACTGGTCTTGAATCAGAAAGGTTCTGGGTTCGAATCCCGGGCAAGGCTGGATGTTGTTTCATTCTCTGTACTATCTGTCCTTACTGTAGGAGCAACGTTGACCCACCTAATATGGTGCNTTAAATATTAAAAATAATAATGAAACGTATTTCCTGTGCACATATTTGCAAATAACAAATTTCTTGAACTATGACATTTAAGCATGCCAACCGGACTGTATTAGGGTCAGGGAACTGGTCTTGCATCAGAAAGGTTCTGGGTTCGAATCCCGGGCAAGGCATGGATGTTGTTTCATTCTCTGTACTATCTGTCCTTACTGTAGGAGCAACGTTGACTCACCTAATATAGTGCCCCTGAAAGAGTGGCCAACAAGTCTGCCCAGTAAATGCCAGTGTAGACGAAATGTTAACACAGGTGGACATTGGAAATAAAAAATATTAAAAAAAATATTTAAGCATTTTTCTACCTACTATAATCGCCAAGTATAGAAATATGTTGCCAACATTGCTTATCATTCCTCGTTTTACCTCACGTACTACTGAATGACAGGAGTTGGTTTCAAAGTGAGAGTGATTTTTACCATTGCCAGAGCAGTCTACTTATATCATTAGTCTATGATTAAGTTCAAATTATAGTTTTTGCTCGATAACTCTTTTATTTTCAAATCTTCTTAGAACAATTTTCTATACTTGCTCTTATTTTTCGGAAATTATTTAATGCTTTGGAACATCGTATAAATAAAATAGCGATTTTATTGTCCAATTAATACTCTACCTGATTATTTTATTTCTTTGGTAAGTTCCCAGACATTTTATAAAACGTTTTTGCACTGAAGTATTTCCAATAAGTAAGGGGAAATTTTAAGACAAAAGCAGTTTAAATTTTTCATTCATACTAAGACACTAACACAGGGGTAATTGTGAGTCCAACTCAAAAATCCTGAAAATTTCCTAAGTAAAATCATTCAAAAAATTAATATCTTTATAAATTTAAATCATCGAAATTTTCAAAACATGATATTCTAAATGAATTATATGCAGCATAATTTAAATGAATAATTATGTGTAAGTTTACTTTTATCTCTAATCACATTTATTATTCTACCAGAGAAAATATTTACAAATGATAGAGATGCCAGGTATAAATTCTAGTTCTAATATTTTTTAAATAAAATATACAAGAATTTTTACATATAAATGTGATAGATGATTTTTTGTAACTTCTGGACTTAGGATTTCCGGAGCACAATTACCCCAAGCGTAAAAATGCTTCGCATACTAAAATGCAGGAACATCAAAAGTGATCTCCATTTTTCTAGTTTGTCTACGGTACGAACTCCCCCGCCACAAAGTCTGAGGCCGTCTGCTGCTATGGAAACAAGAACAGCGCATTTCAGGGAGGGTAGCTTCTCTTCACTCTAGGGCTAACACTCTAGACCGAAGAAAAAAATTCCCTTTCTCTCGTTGACCCGAGCCAAAACCTATCCTAAACAGTAACCCCACACCCCTACTCGGAATAGTTAAACTTCGTTACCATGGTTACGGCCACGTTTCCAGACAAATGGCTCTGGGAGTTCTTACTTAAGACAAACTATATAGACATTCGATCACCGTTTCACACACTATAAGAATCTCCCTGTGTTTTAAGAGGAAGTGTAAAGAGGCTTACCGCAAAGGGGCATCAGCCCTGGGGACCATGTCCCATTTCGAAGACAAACCCTTTGTAGAGGACCTTGCTGAGAGTATCCTACAGAACAGGAGTATGTAACGGCGTCCCCTGGTCTATACAGTTCTTTCAGAGGATAGGGTCGCCCGAAGGCTGGAGATCCCGGATAACCACAATCTAAACCTAAAAAGAAAAAGAATACAGTTGATATGAACATACTGTTAAAAGAAGGCGTTTTATGAGCATGTTACCATGAATGACCGAAATCAAGAGAATCTCGACTTTCACCGGTGAATGTCAACAATCACACATTCGCTTTGGTGAATGCCCGAAATAGTTGATACATTCGATTTGATATTAATTTAATCGTTGCTATTACTATATTAATTCGATATTTTAATATTTGCAGATGATAGATTAGGGGAAACGCATGTTTTCGGAGTACTGGTTAAATACATAATAGGCCAGTGGCACTTGACCTTGGAAAAACATTGATGTAGGGCAAACCAGGCATATGTATACCGGGCAGTGGTACTTAACAAGACCTAGTATATACACTGGTGGACAAAACTAAGAGATGGAAGACATTTTCCCAAATATCTAAAAAAATACTGAACATAAATAAATTATTTATAATTATTATAATCATAAATAAATTATAAGAAATTTGGTATGGATATAGCTTATTCCATGATAATAAAGTATGAAAAACAAAAATGAAAGTGGCATTCACTGGCAAGACCTATTGCCAATAAATCCAATGTAGTCTGAACTTAAGGATAAAAGATAACAATAAAAGTGAGGCTTGTACGCTGTGTGTTGTCTCTAGTATGGTGTATGGTCACCCCTGACAGGCAGACAGCTTGCACAACGAGTATACGTGCTGTTAATAAGGGAGTTAAGGAGGACTCGATGAAGACCCTCCCATTCTTCCACCAGAGCAATTTTTAACTCCAGAATGGTTCTCGGGGGAGGTTGGCGCATCGCAATAGCTCTCCCAAGAGCATCCCAAGCATGTTCAATAGGACTCAGGTCAGGGGATTTGACTGTCCAATCCATTCGTTGCATATCCTCGCTTTCCAGATACTCATCAACCATCAGAGCTCTATGTGGTCTCGCATTGTCATCCATAAAAATGAACTTAGGGCCAACAGCGCCCCTGAAAAGACGCACATATGGCTCTAGGACCTCCTGTCTGTACCTCTGCACTATTCACGGAACCATTGTCAAACACATGGAGCGGTGTGCGGGTATCTTGCATGATCCCTCCCAAATCATGAGTCCTCCACCAGCATAATGGTCCCTTTCGATACTGTTGCTGGGATGGTATCGGGTTCCAGGTTCCCTCCATATCAATACCGTCCAGAATCAGGTTGTAGACTGAATATGGACTCATCGGTGAAGAGAACATTAGCCCATTGAAGCTGTGTCCAATTCTGATGTTGTCTGCACCATTCTGCACGCGCTTTTTTGTGGGAGGGAGTGAGTGGGATGCAAATAACGGGCTTCCTGGCATACAGCCCTCTTTCGTGGAGTCTCCTGGAAACTGTTTTACTCGAAATTGATGTTCCTGTAGCAGCCGCGAGGCTCCTAGACAATTGAGTGGCTGTAGCCGTCTTCTGGCGCTTAGCTGAAAGGAACAAATACCGGTCTTCATTGGCCGTTGTAACTCTCGGGCGACCTTGTCCTGGTCGTCTGCATACTAACCCAACTAGTTTTAAATTGACTCCACAAATTGGAAATGACGCTTGGTGTTATATCCAATTCCCTAGCAATCTGAGCTTGGGACTGACCTGCCTCAAGTCTACCCACAATTCTCCACCTCATACCTTTGTCTAAACGATGATGTTCACTCATTTCACCTAAAAACCAGTAAGAAATAACAAGATTATTCAAAAAATGTACTAAAATCTGCAACTGCGTTGAAGAGTGGAATGAGATGAACAGCTCGGTGCGGATTTTTATACCTCCTGCTGGCTTAGCAACGCCCAGAAGAATACGGAAACTTATCTCAGGGCTAATAGCGCTACAGTGACCATATATGGCAATCAACTGTCCAGGTTTTGTGCGGTATTTTTAAAGAAATGTGCGAAAATTATTCCATCTCTTAATTTTGTCCTCCAGTGTATTTCTCGGGCATTTACTTAGTCAACTATGTGATTGACAACATTCACCGGTGGAAGTCAAAAACCATCAATTTCGATATTAGTGCCCACAGTTGTAATGCAGCAAACATTTGCTCGACTTCGACTATGATTAATTCGGTTAGTTTAAAGTTAGTTCCTGTGGATTAAAAGAAGAAAAAAATACTAGGTCTATATTACTAAATATATATACTAGGTCTAGTTAAGTGCCACTGTCCGGTATACATTTGCCCGCTATGCCCTACATCAATATTTTTTCAAGGTCAAGTGCCACAGCCCTGTTATGCATTTAACCAGTACTCCGAACACATACGTTTCTCCTAATCTATCCTCAGCAGATATTAAAATATCGAATAAATATAATATNTGGACTTCTTTACTATGAAAAATTGATGATATTTTTTGAAAAATGAAGAAATAAAAAAATTTGTTCACATGTACCCCTCTCTCCCCTACTAGGTCTAGTTATGTGCCACTGTCCGTTATACACTTGCTCGCTATGCGCTACATCAATATTTTTTTAAGGTCAAGTGCCACAGCCCTGTTATGCATTTAACGAGTACTCCGAACACATACGTTTCTCCTTATCTATCCTCAGCAGATATTAAAATAACGAATAAATTTAATAATATCAACGTATAAATTAATATCAAATCGGATATAACAAATATTTCGGACGTTCACCAAAGCGACTATGTGATTGTTGACATTCACCGGTGAAAGTCAACATTCTCTTGATTTTGGTCATTCACGGTAATAAGTACACTGTTTTTAAAGATTTTGAAAGAAAAAAAAAAAAATCAGAGCACTTCCCGTTTTTGTAATGATGCAGAATTTTGATAGGCAGCGTGCGCAAAATGAAAAGCGAAACACTTTAATAATTTTTGATTTTATGATTGCATTTTCACTTACATAAGTACTGACAGGCAACCTTAATGATTCTGGAGCTTTTTAATACAAGAAATTTTTTTAAAATTTTTTATCTTTAAGCAATCATGGTAGTTACTTCTATTTGTGAGCCGTTGAGAAATTTTACAGCGAAACAAGTTAATAAAGAATTCATAATTAATATTAATGACTTGAAAATTCTTTTCAATAACCAATTATGTAGGTTGACATATTTTAATTTCGTAAAGCTGACGTAATAGACTACCTGACATTATATGATATAATTTAATTAATGTTATCCTTCAATTCGTAGATTTCATTACGTTGAGATTGATAGAGAGTATAAATTGCGTACCTGATTAAAAGACAAAAGGGCGTGACTATAGTATATAAACAAATGTTACACGCTCATAGAATATTATTTACATTTAAATAGTCATTAGGAACATTTAGATTTAATAGTCATTGCCAAACAAGTTATTCAAATCCAGGACGCTGATAAAAGAGAAAACTATTTATTTCGCTCTTTTTTAATTACAAGTTCTTTTTTTATTGCAATGAAATAACATAATCATACCGCAGCTAAATTTAAAAAATTAAAATTGCACAAATGATGAATATGTAATTAGACTACCTGCCAATTTTTTTTTATTTCAGCAAAGAGAATATTATATTAAACTATAGAAATTAGAAGGTTGTTTACATGGAATTTATATCAAACAACAATTTCATAAAAATAGGGAAGAATTTTTCGACATAAAATAAACATGGTTCTAACGAGAAACTTTATTAAACCTTTTTGAATAATCATTTTAACAAAAAAGTCTACGTAAGTAAAACGTAAAATTACGTGAGTAAAATATAAATAAATTTTCAATAGTTTTCCTCAAAATTATTTACTTTTTTTTTAATATTTAAATTTCAACTTTTTTTATTCATCAATATATTTTTAATAATGACAACGATAATTGTAAGAAAAAAATCGCCCAAAAATAATTAGAAACATTTTCTACTAAATATTCATTTATAAGTTTTGCGTAAAGTAGAAACAATAATGTTTAATACGATTTTATAAAAGTTAAATACTGCATTTATATATATATATATATATATATAAANAGTGAAGTTAAAATATTGAGAAAATATGGAAAATAATAAAGATTGATGTGATGACAAGAGAGGAAAAAAATATTAAAAATAAAATTATTTTTAAAAAATATTTAAAATTTTTTATTTATTTATCAAAAGATAAAAAATATTAAACATCCGGAAAAAAAAATAAAGAAGAAAAAAAATCTCTTCATCAGCGCACACGATTATATCCGCAAAAAGGAGTATTTTCTAATATTGTATCAATATAGCCAAAGCAAAATATATTAATACAATAGTGTGAGGAGCACTAAAAAAATTGAAACGAAAACAGAATACATTAAGTAAAAAATATATACGAAATAAAACATATCAAGCAAAAAACAGAAAATACAATACAGAATCAAACACGAAAGGAAATTTTTAAAGCGAGGAGCGAATTCAAATGTACCACAGTTTAGTTTTCTGTGGTTTCGTTTTCAACTTATTGCGTGGATTTATTGTGGCATATTTTGAAATACTTCGTAACCGCGACATTGAATTATAAACAAATCTTTTTTTTAAAAAATTGTCTGAAATAGGAGATAAACGAAGGAGTGCCGATATTTACGTAAGAGTCACTTCCGACATTTTTTGTATCACGTAATAAAGAAATCCTCGTCACACCTGCTGCTGCTGCGAAGGAGGGTGCTTTCTGGGTCACTGGTGCTTTAATAAAGATGACATCAACATCCAAGAGGGTGAATCAGTTATTCATCTCACTTCTTCGATTTTCGCTTTCCGTTAAAGAGTGGAAATTCGTCAGATTATTTAGCTTATGCGCAAATTAACTACAGGGAGCGTAGCCAAATCTTTCAACAAAAATAAGAACCTTTTAAGTACTTTTTAAGAACTCAAAAAAAAAAAAATGTTTTTTTAAGCTCTATATACTCTAGCAGCAAAATACCTTGGGCCCTCATTGGACCAATATTCCCGAATCTTGGCTTAATAAGGATTCAAAGGGCTGTTATTTTTCCGATATTGGCCCTATATAGAAATGTCCTATTCACCCAATATTTTACA